TTGGTTTAAGACTAGGAGATTAAAACACAAGAGGACAGATTCGGCTCTAACGCTGTGGAGGTCAAAACCTGACTTGTAAGTGGACTTCCTGAGATGTTAGTTCCTTTTCAGACTCGTGCTGGTGTAGTTGGCTTTGTGAGTTTGTGACAGAAGCTGGGGTGCCCTCAGTCCCTGTCACTGCAAGGGGTGGAGCCCGCCCCAGACACGGCCCCTGGGCGGTCCAGCCAGGTTGCCCCCATGCAGGAGCCAGGCCCCGGCAGGGCAGCTCTGCACAGGTCGCTGTTGGCGGCCCTGGGTGGCTCGGTTACGGCTGCGGGGACCTCTGGTCGGACTCAGCTGGCATCATCTTAATTGAATTCGATTATTTTGTTCACTTTATGTGCTACTGTCACTTCCTGTGACCTAATATTTTAGGTTTCATTAACCAAAATTTCCCCTGCATTTGGAGTTGGAAAAGAAAAATCAGTGGGTGAAGACCACTGAGATCTTTGCGCATAATCACACAATCTATTCACAGTATTCTACAAACACATCTTTAGACAATTAGATGGGCTAGAGTTGGACAATCTCCCTTTATTTAAATTTTATATAAATATTTCCTGTGGTACTTTTGAATCAAATTGTGCTCTTGATTTTTATTCTGTGTATTTGTCAGTGCATGTGTTCTTAATTTACATGAAAACATGAGTTATGGGTGGAGAATTTCCAAATTGGATTCCTGGGATGTGCTTTGAAGAAATGATTATTCCAGGGTGGGGGCATCTGTATTATTTTCAAGTATATTATACTATACGGCCTGTAGGCAGTGTCACGGGTATCTTCAAAAGATACTGGTCCAAGAGATGAAGGTGATAAACTAGCTCTGAATTAAATACTGAATTTCCAGCCTGTCCGCCCCAGCAATAGGACAAGCAGATCTTGTCCTTCAAGTTGGACAGACTGAGGGTCGGTCTCTTAATCTGTTGCTCACATACAGTGAAACCAAAAAGCTTGCAAGCGTGGTTATCAGTGGGGAGGGGAGTCGTAGGTGTGTGTCCCTGTGTGCACCCTATAATCGTGTTTGCAAACATGTGGCATCGTTGATTTTTATTGTTTTACTTATCTCCTGTGTTAACTGTATCTGGGTAATGTGTTTAAGGAAAGCAACAACAGACATTGTGGAAAGGAAGTTCACTGGCCCCCGTGAGAAAGGAAAACGAGGCTGTCCCGTTAAAGCGTGTGGTGCTGCCCCTGCCCCCCCCCCCCCCCCCCCCGCCGGGTTTCTTGCTTTTGGGTTCCTTGACTCCTACAGAATGAAATAAGTGAGAATGGCATCCAGCCACCAAGTGGCCATTATTTTACCTAAAGTTCCCAGGCCGACAGTTGTCATTATTCCTTGTTTTATCTCCAGATGTCCAGGGTGACATCTGAATGAGGGTATCTCGGTCCCTTTAGCCAGATCACTCTGTGATTCCCTGGTGCGCACAGGCCAGTGGTACCACAGTGGGGACTTCACTGAGACCCGAACCGGTCACAGTCACTTACACACACAGCCAGCGTCGTCGAGAGGGTGTGCGTCACCCTCTCAGTGGTGAGGGGCAGGGTGGGGAGGAAGGAACTGACATTTTCCTGTGGTTGAATTACAAGACACCTCTGTTTTGCCCTGCAGTTTAGGAGAAGGTAGTTAGTTTGATTTGGAGTGAGAAAAAAGGGGGAGGAGATGGACTTGGGCTTTTCAGTGGCCTTCTCTGGAAGTGCGACAGTGTGGATGTTTCTGTCAACGCTACACGTGACAGCGTATCTATGAAACTGTGTATCCCACTTAAGTAACTACAGTCAATTATTTAAAGCCAACAAAACAGTGTAACAGTTTTAAGTTCAGTAATGTTAAGTATTGTATAGAAATATATTGGAGGCAAAGTTCAGTTGATGACAATTGTGTATATGTTATTGATGCTGTAAATTATTTTTAATAAAGAAAACTGTATTATCACATTTGACTCCTTATAAAATATTTTGTGGTAATTAAACAGAACACAACATAACTTACAAAGAAATAGGATGGCATCCAGAAATTTCTCTTCAGACATGTTCCCTAAGTGTTCAGACAGGAGTTGTGAGTGCCCCGGTGCTGACGGAGCTCATTCTCCCCCCACGTGGCATTCCTTCCACTCTGGGGCCGGGAGGCAGGAGCCTGAAATGGGGACACAACAAGCCTTAGATTCATGGAGTCTCATCTTAGAGTTGAAGAGACCGGTTTCTCACCCAAAGCAGGATCCTGTGTGCAAACCGTCTACCGGGGCCACCTTTCCGTGACTACTCAGTCAGTAAAGACCGTCTGCTGTTCTGCACAGCCCGCCCTGGTGACTGAAGTTTGAATGGAAGATGGACTGGACTTCGAGCTCCAGTCTGCTCTCTGGTAGCTTCCACCTGCAGATTCTGATCCTCCTGATTTTGTCTCTGCCTCTTAAAGCACTTGGGCACAGCTAAGCATTAAACACCTGTTTAATGAGTAAACCCGCACATTGCACTGCTTATAACCTCCTCAAGATAGATGGTTGACTGGACATTTAGGACGGAATCGTGGGGGGGGGTCTCAGGCTGTAAGTTGTGTGTTACAGGAGGGAACTGCCTTTTCCTGACGATGCAGGTGGCGCTCTGTTTTAAGGAGCCTCTGTGCTTGAGGACCAGTGGGCAGTGCCACCCACTGCACTGTCCTTTGTCAGCGTTCCCACGAAGCGTCCTCCAGAACTGGGGGCCAGGACCACGGGCCTCTGCTCTAAAGTCATGCCTTGTAAATAAGATCAGCTATTTTCTCCCACTCTTCATAGCAGTCTAAAGGTGCAATTAAAGTTTAGGAAGATTTGGCATTCATAAACCAAAATCGATACATTACAAAGTTTTCTAAGGATTCTAATTCAGTATCCTGAGAGGTTTTCCAGCATTAGAAAGGCTAATACCACATGTGGAGAGTATGACCATCCAGAGTCTTTGAGGAAAGCTAGCGTGCCCTCAGGGCTGCATTGTGGTGGTTTATAGTTTTCACTTGATGCCAGCTTTGCTTTTTAACTACAAATTGGCTTAGCTTAAGCTTACTCATTTTGGTTTGACCAATAAGTTTTTCTCTCAGACTGTAAGGTGTGTGTTTAGTGCACTTCTGTGTTACAACTGTCTGTGTATAGTTCCCACAAAAGGTGCTTTTATGATGACCGTTGTCACTGAATTTTAGGCATTTTAAACAATTTGCAACATATAGCTAAAGGAAGTATTGTTAAACTATGGGGCTACTGTGTTTCATAATATAAAATCACGGTTATAATCTCATTGCAAATTTTTCATTTTGCTTCACTCCTGTTTTTGATCCCTTGAGGGTTTTTGTTTTTTTTTTTTTTTAGATTTTATTTATTGTTATACAGAGGGGAAGGGAGGGAGAAGGAGAGGGAGAAAAACATTGATGTGCGGTTGCCCCTCACCTGGCCCCCACTGGGGATCTGGACCACAACCCAGGCATGTGCCCTGACTGGAAATCAAACTAGCGACCCTTTGGTTCGAAGCCTGCGCTCAATCTACTGAGCTACACCAGCCAGGGCTGATCCCTGAGTTCTGAGAGCCACTGAGTAGGTGTCTCGGTGGCCAGGTGATGAAAAAATTATTGTGACAACATAGGTGTCAGATTGGTGGGACTCTTCTCATCACCATGTTGCCATCACTGAGAAAGAACATGATTTATAGTAGATCCAGTAATATGATGACACTATCTTAAAAGGCAGCATTAAAAATGCACAAAATATTTATGTAAGAGGATATTTTTAAGGACATGAAAATTCTCATATAAAGTGGAAAGGGCAGGTTACAAAGTAGAGTTTCTGCAGAAGGTGCAGTGAGTGGAGAGAGCCATGCCGAGGGGGCAGTTGTGAGTAGCCCTGTGTCTTCAGTTCTCACCGGTGTCCACATTCAATCTTCACTCCCATCCTCTCACTCCCAGAATAGGAAAAACCGAATGCAGTGAGAGTGGGGAGAGAATTCAGGAGCTACCGGAGAGGATAGTATGCAGAAGAGCCTAAGGGAACCAAAAGGAGTAAAATCCTGGTTACAGAAAAATAAAAGCGCACTTGATAGCCTAAAGGCATGAAACGTGTTGCTCTGGGGCTGTAAAAAGAGCCTGCTACTGGAAGATTAGAAGTGCAACAGATAAGAACCAAATCTAAATGGGGGAAACTCGGTTTGGGAAATGTCCAACTCAATCAAGGTGACTAGATAACGTGAGAGTGCTATATATATATCCTGATAGAGGGGAAAAGAATAAAAGCATGGGATGGGGGAGGGGGCGGAGAATGTGCATCTACAAAAAATACGGACTTAGTTGCAATTGTGAGTGGGCGGGCCGTGGTCTAGACCCCCTCCTCAATAGAAAGGAATCCTGCGGGCTGTAGACGTGCATCCAGCTGTCTATCAGGGCGTATAGCACTTTACAATGAAGATAACACGCCTGTGCACCCCTGTAGCACGCTAGACCATCAGGACCTCCAATCGGAACTGCGTTTCCTGGGGCCTGGGTGCGAGGGCGGCCTCTGGGATGCGTGCTGCCTGTAGGAAGGCAAGGACGGAAAAGGCCAGAGTTGTGCCCAGGCACTTTCGGTACCTAGAGAAACGATCCACGAAGTGTGCTAAATGGACTGCGCTGGCTGCCCGGTGCTGCTCAATTGCCGGAAGGCTACTGGTCAGGGGCCGGCCAAGGGGCGGGGCAGAATCCAGAACAGCCAATCAGGAACAAGAAGCTCAGTTCTGCAGAAAGATAACCAGGTTGTGATTTGGGTGAGCACCGAGAGAAGGCGGGACCGGATTGCAGAGAACCAATTACAAGCCTGCTCTCTGAATTTCTCTTTTTGGCCCCTCAGGCAGATGGGGCGGGGCCTCATATCCCCGTAGCCTGCACTGATTGGTGAGAGTGGTTTTTCTGAGGAACCAATCAGAAGTCAGGGGTCGCGGGTTTGGAGCAGGGGCGGGTCGAGGTGCGGCAGTCAGGCGTGACCATACCACGCGAGATCCGGCCACGGGAGACCTCCTCACGGGAGCGTCAGACCTCAGCCCGGGCTGCCGGACAGTGGAAGCCTCCTCTAGACGGTGGGTCGTGGGGGGTGAGTGGGTACAGGAGCAGAGGTGTTCCAGGTCCCCGGGGGTTGGTGCCTCGGACTCCGCTCAGAGTGTCAGGTGTGTGACGGCTGGCACTATTCCCTGACCTCGGAACTGGAGCGGAGTGTGGAGACCCTTCGGGGGACTGTGCGGCACCTGGGCGGGGACAGGTGTCCGAGGCCCACTGGGCCTCGTGGCCCCAAATGCTGTGACCCAGACGTGTGTGACTCCAGCGTCTTGGTCAGCAACCCCTGCAGCTGGCTCGCTCGCCCCTCCCCCCGACCGAGCAGGAAGTCCCGCGGAGCGCCTGGTAGTGCTTTGCTGTTGTCCTTGAAAATCACACTGCTTTTCCTGCCTGTTTCCAGACCCCCCATTTGGGGTAAGGCCCGCTGGCCCCTGGAGAGAAGGCAGCCCTTCTTTCGTTCGTCCCACCTGGGCCAGGCGCAAGCAGGGGTAGGACATCTGCTGCATAACCCCTGCCCCAGCCTCAGGGGGGACATAGCAGAGGAACTGTAGGAGCGGAAGGGTGAATTTGGAGCTCATGCCTGCCTAGATAGAACTTTACTGGGCTTTGTAATGCTTGGGGAGAGAGCCAGAGGAAAGAACTTGTCCCGTGTTCCTTGCACAGAGTGCGGAGTTTAAGCCCCCCCCCCCCCCCGGGTTGTGAAGCAAAGGTTGTGAGATTCTGGCATGAGATTTGGAGTTGGCAAGCATTGGCCTCCTGTAGCCTTTCTCCGCAGCTAAGGAAAACCCGGTTGGCAGGGAACAGACCAACTACCTGTAAGATTCGGATTCCCTTCCTCGCCTCCTCCATACACACAGGGCACCTTTCCGTTATATTTATTTGCTCTGGGGGACTGACTTGGTCTGTGCCATTAGTTCCATAACTTGGGGTCCTTGCATACAGAGCAAAAAATGTAAATTTAAACTCAGAAAAAACTTCGGAAGTATAGACTGTTAGACCTACAAGGGCTTTCAGGGATGACCAAGTCCAAACTCCCTGTAAGAGGCTAGGTAGCAGAGCTGGGACTAAAATATGTTTAAAAATATGTTTTATTTCTCCCAGTGTAGCAACTTTTCCCCTCCTTGTTGTATTGTGATAAAATACACTTAACAAGTACAACAACTTTTATTGCACCAGCTGTCTTTTTTTGCTGGTGAGAGCTGCCAATACTGCTTTACACCGATGTAGAAGACGGGGTTGTTCAAGCAGAAACTTCATGAGTCCCGTTCAAGGATTCTAGCAACGTGTTGTAGAATGAAATGGAATGGAGATTGGCCTTCACCAACTGCCTCTAAGGTTCCTTCCAATTTTAAGGACTTATAATTCATAGCAAAGTCACAATTATTCTGCCATCCTTAACATTTTATTTTTTAAGATTTTTCCTTAAGACTTTAGGAATTGAGAAGTTATGCCAGGATTTCATCTTGGAGTTAAAGCTTTGGTTCACATTACACTTTGAATACTGGCCCTACCCCAGTTTACAGATCTACAGGAGGAATTTAAAATTTCACATAAAGTCTTAAGCCCGATTTTGGTGTGACAGGATATACCGGTTCCAAGCTTTAGAAGCAGAGATTGTTTTGCGACCCTGTGCAGGCTTTGTCACATACATCTGTAGTGAACGAAATCAGAGAGACCTGATTTGATTCGAGAAGCAAATGCTCTGGTTGGAAAGTAAACAGGAGAAGTGAGTACCTCACATCAGTCAACCCTTTAATGTTTGAAAGTATGACTGATGAGCTGGATGATGATTCTTATAATGTAACAAAACTCGTGGACAGAAAAGTAACGTCGCTGTATTTGAAATTACATTTCAACCCAAACTAATGGTACTATAGTCAGAAGGACGCCATCATGGATTAGGACTGTAGACAGCTGAGTTCTCACTGTGACTTGGTATGTACTTTTGGGCCAAGGCACTTAAACCTTTCAGGACCTAAATTTCCCCTATAAGTAAAATCGATGGGGGTAGGGCTGGGGAGGAATCGGACTAGGCGATACCAAAGTGCTTTCCTGGTCTACGTTCTGTCCCTGGAAACATGCCTTCAATGTGTGAAGTGGGTTTAGAAATAATTTACGGCCCTGGCTGGTGTAGCCAGTGAGAGGTCGACCCAAAGAAAAGGAGAGGAAAAGCATATAAAAAAAAAAAAAAAAAAAATTTACGGTACAAAGATTTTTATTCACCTGCAAAACATCTACTTCTTTTTTCTCCTTTACTGATCTTGCGTTTTAACTTTATGAGTGAAGATTAATCTTTACAAGTGCAGAATCAATATTGAGAAACATTGGTCTGTCTTAAGGAAAATCATTTAAATAATTTGTTCGTTACATCCCCTTCTAGATTGTTTCCCACAGACATAATGTCAAGTGCAGACGACCAGCGACCACAGGCCTTTGCCAAACCCGCTTTCAGCGAGGCCCAAGCCTGGGCAGTCGTGGAGTCGGTGTTTGGGTTCAAAGTTTCCAAGATCGAGCCCCTTCCTAGCTATGATGACCAAAACTTTCACGTGTGTGTTTCGAGAACCACGGACGGCCCCACTGAATATGTCCTCAAAATAAGCAACGCAGAGTTCAGCAGAACCCCAGACCTAATCGAGATTCAGAGTCACATCATCATGTTCCTGCAGGCGGCTGGATTTCCAACAGCCTCTGTGTGTCGCACCAAAGGAGACAACGTAACCTCTCTCATGTCTGTAGGTAAGGGATCACCCACTCGCCGGTCATCGCCCGTCCGAGCACATTGCTGAGTGTTGGCTGCAAGTAGAAATATCAAGGCCAGGTTTCTTGTTCCAAATGTAGACACAGTTCCTTTCTAGCAGTTGGGAGAAGCCATAGCATCACCAAAGGGGCGATTCGGGCTCTGATTCAGATGTGGTTAGGGCCAGGGTCTGGTGTAACCTGAGAGATAAGTAAGTGGGGACATGCGGTGACTGGGAAGGGTTGTTTTTTTTTTAGCAGAAAAATAACTCCTTTTTAGAGGGGGGTAGGGTGGGAGAAAGAGAGGGGGAGAAACATCAATGTGTGGTTGCCTCTTGTGTGCCCGCCCCCTCAGGGACCTGGCCCGCAACCTGGGCATGTGCCCTAACTGGGAATCGAACCAGTGACCCTTTGACTTGCAGGCTGGCGCTCAGTCTACTGAGCCACACCAGCCAGGGCTAATTAACTACGTTTATTCATCAGATCAGCTGTGTATTTCGCTGCTGTGGTGTAATAGAAAAAATGCAGAACTAGAAATCAGGAATTTTAGGTCCCAGCTCTGTCGTGATTGTGCGTGTGACCTGGGCAGCACTTACATTCCTAAGGCCACAAGTCCTCATCTGGAGGAATTGGTCCCTTTCACCTTTAAATGCTAAAATGCTAAGATGTACCTAATTGAGTTCCCCAGGCAACAGCCTGAAATCAATTTGTAGGAATTAAAAACAAACATTTATTTACTGATTGATTTTAGAGTGAGAAGAAGGGAGGGAAGGAGAGACAGAGAAAAAGAGAAAGAAACATGGATTTGTTGTTGCCCTTATTGACGCACCATTGGTTGAATCTCGTATGTGCCCTGACTGGGGATCGAACCTGCAACCTTGGTGTATTGAGACGACGCTCTAACCAACTGAGCTACCCGGCCAGGGCAATTCCTGGGAATTTTTAAGGTTTGACATTTTGACTGTTTCTTTCCTAATTGTCCACCCATCCTTTCCTAACGTGCCTTGCTCCGAACAACTGAGGCTTTCTGGTCCCCGAGGCGTAGCTTTGTCCTGTGTTGCAGGCAGGCTGCTCCTCAGTTTGCTCCTGCAGAACCTATGATTCTGAAAGTCATTCCTTTTCATCACGCTTTCCTCAATTGTGAACTTATGACAAAGTGTTCCTAGGCATTCACTCACCAGAGGAGGTCATTTGTGTTTAGAGCTGAGGCCGGCAGACTTGCCATTCTGATGTGAATGGCTGATTCCGTGTCCTGAGGTTTGTCTGTTCTACCTCCTTGCTTGGTTCTCAGCCCCGTCTCAGAGAACCCTGCTGAGAGTTTTAGGTTAGCACATTTTTTTTCCTCTTGTTTTATAATTTCTAGTATTCTTGGCCATAATAATTACTGCTCAAAGGCAGAATGATCTCTAATTTTTTTCAAGACAACTTGACGGTATACGTCCTTCTATCTGGCTAGATAGTGGTTCTGAAATCAAAAGCTACGTGGTGAGGCTGCTGACGTACCTCCCGGGAAGGCCCATCGCTGAGATTCCCATCAGCCCCCAGCTGCTGTATGAAGTTGGAAGGCTGGCTGCCAAATTGGATAAGACACTGGAGGTAAAACTTGGCATTTTATTTTTGTGTATGAGGACTTTATATTTGTCTGGGCTTGTTGTGTATGAGGACTTTATATTTGTCTGGGCTTGATTTCTTTTATTTTTATTTATTTTTTAAATTAAAAAAAAGATTTTGTTTATTTATTTAGAGACAGGGGAAGAGGGAGAAAGAGAGGGAGAGTAACATCAATGTATGGTTGCCTCTCACATGGCCCCTACTGGGGACCTGGTCTGCAACCCAGGCATGTGCCCTGACTGGGAATTGTACCAGTGAGTCTTTGGTTCACAGCCTGAGCTCAATCCACTGAGCTATACCAGCCAGGGCTATTTTTATTTTTTTGAAATATTTTATTTTATTTTTAGGGAGAGGGGAAGGGAGGAGAAGGAGGGGGAGAAACATCAATGTGTGGTTACATCTAACACATCCCCCTCTGGGGACATGGCCTACAACCCACGCATATGTCCTGACCAGGAATCGAACCGGCAACACTTTGGTTTGCAGGCCCATACTCAATCCACTGAGCCACACCAGCCAGGTGATTTCTTTTATTTTTAAAATAAACCCTGGGTCACACTCTCTTTTTACATATGGTGCCTCCGGAAAGGAAACGGGACCCTAGCTATGTGCCTTTATGACCAAAAGGCTTCTTGTGGCCCAGGTGTGTACTGACTTTACTGGGCTGTTGGCAAGATTACCTACATTTGTAGAAATTCATGATACTCTTCGTGCTGCTCACGGAAAGCCGTCTGCGCTCATGAGTGAAAACCCGCGGCTTTCATCCACAAAGGCATCCTCGGCCGGAGCGCTGAGTGAAACAACCATGAGATGACAAGTGGATTAAAGGAATGTGTGTTGAGGGTGTCTTTGCCGTATAGAAACAAAAGGGTATCATGTGTAACAAGTGTCCCCTGGTCCTGGAGGAGTGCGTTCCCAGGGGACAGATAAACCCTTTCAGAAGGAATCGCAGTTTGTATGAGTAAAACAGTTTTCATGGGTAAAACACCTCCACTCCCCAGGAAACCCTGTCTATTCGGTCCCTGCAGTGTCCCTGTAACACGTCACCTCCTCTCCATTCCTGCCTTGACTCTCCTCACGGACCACGGTAGCCTGCCTGCATCCAGGGCTGTTCTCCAGCGTATTTATACCACAGTCCAGAGTTGCTCTTTAAAATGACAGGTCTGGCCATGTCGGTGCACAGCAACCACCTTTCAGTGGCTTCTGGCTATGTTTGAAGTGAAGGCCATGTTCTTTCCTACAGGGCCCTGCGTGGCCTAGTCTGCATCTCCGCCCCTCCATCTCGTCGTCTGCCTGACCCTCACGCTTTCCTCAGCGCTGGTGCAGAGCTCCCTGCGGTTCCCCGGATGTGCCATCTGTGCCGTCATGCATCAGTACCTTTGCCATTTTCTCTACTGGTAATGCTTTCTCCTCTGCTCTACAAAACTCCTGGCAATCTTTGAACATGTGGCTTGAGCGTCACCTCCACCAAGGTTGAGAGATTCAAAACCATGGCATGTGACGAATAATCAAAGGAACTAGAAAGGCTGACTGAAGAAGAGAAGACGCTGATAGGTGGTAGTGCCAACTTCAAGTGTCAGGAGGACAGTCATGTGGGAGAAGGGCCGCTCCTGCTGTGGAGGGCCCCAGAGGTCACCCTGGAACCAGCAGCGGACACTGTCGGAAGCAGGTGTTAGCTCAGCACCGGCCGAGCGTGGGCCCGCTCGGGAGGGCCGACGGTGCCTCCTGGGGGAGGAGTGCGAAGGCAGGCCACGTGTTCCCCTGGCAAGGATGCAGCTGTGGGGACCAGCGCCTGGAGAGGGTTTCCAAACTCCAGGTCATGAAAGTGGATGTTAAAATAAACCTGGAGGAATATTTTTAAAGAACTAGAATAAAATATAGAACACCAGGCTACATCATCCTATGTAACAGTCTACTTACCGTTTACAAGAGATTTTTTTCTTAATGTATGTGTCTTACCTAAATACTGGGCTGTGGTATACGTAAAAGTACTTCTTACGTGAGAGGTCATGTCCAAAAAGTGTGAAAGCTACTCTGCTGAGTGGCCACCCAGGCACCCTGTAGCACCCATTCTGCGGAAGAGGTCTGGGCTGGGACCCGTGCCCTGGTCTTCCCGCAGCTCAAGCAGCAACTCATGATCCGTCTCTGAACCTCAGTTTTCTGTTTTGTGCAACGGTGGCAGAGCTGCTTAGAACTTTGGATAGACTGGTCAAAGTAGAAGGGCCATTCTAATTCTAGAATTTGCCATTGTGAGAACATTAATTTATTCAGCAGATCCTGCACCAATGGTACCTTCTCTGTGCTCCGCACTGTTCTGGGTGTGGGGTTCAGTAGAGAAAAAAATAGACTAAAAGCAGAGCTCCTGCCCCTCGGCGGGCGCACACTCCAGGGAGGGTCCTCAGTGAGGTAAATCAGTGAATTGTGAATCCGAGACAGCAGTACATGCTAGGTGCTTAAGGAGAAAACACAAGCTGAGAACAGGGATACAAAGCATTGCGCAGAGGTCTTAAAATGCAAACAGAGTTCAGGGAGCCCTCCCACAGACAGAGATTGGAGGGAATACCTAGTAGGAATGAGGGTGCTGGCCACTGGGACACATTGGGGAGCATCTCAGGAGGAGGAAGCTGCAAACACAAAGGCCAGAGGTGGGACCAGGTCTGGCCCATTCTCAGGGAGGCCACTGTGGTCGGAGCAGAGTGAGCAAAAGAAGATGAAGGCAGGGGCAGCAAGGGCCCCGGCCGACCCTGAGGGGAGAACAGGTGTCTTCACAGGATGAAGAGGATCGAGTGAGTTGGGAATGTGCTCTCTAGTGGGACAGCCTGTGCAGCACACAGGGGCAAGTGAGGGCCCAGGAGGGAACGGTGGCTCTCGCTGGGTCGCTCCCCAGGCCTGCCCGTTGCTGGGTGCAGTCTCCTAATGCAGCTCAGCCCTGACTGCCAAGAGTCTCACGGTTTCTTGCTTTTGATTTAGAAATTCCACCACCCAAAGTTAAAATGTCTTTATCGGGAGAAGTTCATCTGGAATCTGAAAAATGTTCCTCTTCTGGAGAAATACCTGGATGCCTTGGGCCCGGATCAGAACCGTGCGATTGTGGAACAGGTCATTCAGCTGTTCAAGGATGAAGTGAGGACCAAACTAAGGCATTTTCGAGAATGTGAGTATTCCCCCAGTCAAGTGAGTATTTTTGTTGGTATTTAAATTGTCAAATTTTAAATCACTGGGAAAAGTGTGAAGTTGCAAGTTAACTTTATCAAATCTTAAAAATTTGCTCCTGTTGCTTTTAAAGAATGATGCTTTTGTCCTGGCCAGGTGGTTCAGTGTGTTGGAGCATTGTCCCCATACACCAAAAGGTTGGGGGTTCGATCCCCAGTCAGGGCTCATACCTAGGTTGTGGGTTTGATCCCCAGTTGGGGCTATATATGGGAGGCAAGCAATTGAGTTTCTTTCTTCCTTACTCTCTCTCTCTAAAGTCACTAATAAAAATATCCTTGATAAGGATTAAAAAAAAGGAATAAGACTTTTTCTTTTTTAAAAAAGGCTACATCTGAAGCCCTCTCTAAGCTTTACAATCCCCCCTCTGCCCTCCCTACTAAATTTGCATACATCTTAATATCATCACTACATATATATTCATTATGTAAAGTAGTATTTTTGAGCTACTTGTTTTTCTAATTATTTTTCTCTCTCCAGCAGTTTTCAAAGCTAGCTACTCTTTTTCTCTTCTGTGAATGGTTTCCCTAGAAATTCTAATGTGTGACTGTAACTTAATGAAACTCTAATTTATTTAAAACAATACAAGGACCTTAAAATATACTTTAATTACACTTACCACTTTTCCGTTGTGTAAGTAAACTTACAATATCATCATCTATTCCAGTAACCAAAAGACAAGAAATTCAGAATTACTTTGTCATCAGAAAAAATTGGGGGAATTCCTAGGTTAAAATAAAAACATGAGTGGTCCATTCTAAGACCCTTTGCTTCTTGTAAGATGAATATATGTATATTTTTTATATTTCTGGTTGGGTGGTTCTCCTTTGCCCTTCTACTAGTCAAAATCAGGCATTTGCAGCAACCACATCTTCCATTTCTTGGCCTTGTGTTGATAAGAAGCCAAAGCAAAAATACCACCAAAATGAACAGCTTTTCTCCTTTTCAGAGGAAATTGTTTTACTTCAAGAAAATAGGATTTGGCTTCTTTTTATTTCTGGCTGCTCATCAAGTTATTTGGCCATGCCTGAGCAAGAGGAATGGAAAGAGAATGAACTGGCTTACTCAATGATTGTTTTTGCACAGCTTATTTTTTTTTCTCCTTTCAGGTATCAATCATGGAGATCTTAACGACCATAACATTTTAGTAGAGTCCAGCAAGTCAGCCTTTGGAGATGCTGCGTATCACGTGTCTGGGGTTTTAGACTTTGACGACATGAGCTATGGCTACTATGTGTTTGAAGTGGCGATCACCATCATGTACATGATGATTGAAAGCAAGGCTCCTATACAAGTGGGTGGTCATGTGCTTGCAGGGTTTGAAAGTGTCATCCCTCTGACATCAGTAGAGAGGGGTGCTTTGTTTCTCCTTGTGTGCAGTCGTTTTTGTCAGTCCCTTGTCTTAGCTGCGTACTCTTGCCAGCTGCAGCCAGAGAACAATGAATATCTCATGATTACTGCCAAAAACGGGTGGAAGCACCTGCAGCGAATGTGTGACCTGGGCCAGAAAGCTGTAGAAGAAATCTGGTTTGACACTGCCAAGTCCTACGAATCTGGGCTCTGCATGTGACTGCAGAACAGTTCATGTGACCTTGGGCAATAACCCTAATAGGAACAAATCTAAGGAATTTCCCTGCACAGTAAAAAAATGAATTGATGGAACAGATCAATGCATGTGAAGCCACTAAGGTCTTCAGATAATCTCATGATTATTAATTTTTATTTTTTAATGAATGTATTGGACTGACATTGGTTAATAAAATTATATTGGTCTCAGGTGTACAAGTCTGTAATACATCATGTGTATATTGTATGTTTGCCACTCCAAGTCTCCTATACCCTCTTCTACCTTCTCCCACCTGCCCTCCCATGGTTTTTTAAACTGAGAAATACTGTGTAAGCAGCGGTGTCTTTCTGTGGTTCTCATTTGCCTTATGTATGAAACACACAGAATATTTTGAATTAGATAATTGCTCGTCTATTCCAGACCTAGTCAGCCTTCTAGCTTTCCGAAACACGTAAAAGTAGTAGTTTACATAGGGACTGAAGCCAAAAGGGAGGAATGGATAATGAACACATTAAAACAATGTCAGTAAAGAAGAGAAATGCTGTGTGTGTGTGGTGATGGTTCATATTGCTTTAACTAGGTTGGTGGAGACCCTCTGATGAGGTGAAAGGCAGAGGAGGCGGCTAAGGAGCAGTGAGCAATGTTGGGGGCGGGGCATGTGGGTCCGGTCTTAGGCGACAGGTGCAGAGCAGGATTAGCCTTGCGTAACTACACTTTCTCCTGCACTGGGGTCTTCTCGCGCCCCCTCCCCAGGCTGAGGAACTCGCTGGGACCATTGCAACCCATCTCCCCACTCCCGAGAAGCAGCAGCCCAGTCCCCTGAAGACCAATGAGTCCCCGGTCCCCACCCTGAAGAACCCCCGAGCCCTTGGCCCGCCCCTAATGGATTTTCGCACCCTTTGCCAAACTTCTGAAGGAATTCCGCACCCACAAAGGACTTCCACGTCCTAGTCTTGCCCCCGAAGAACTTCTGCCCCTCGAACACGCTCCAGAAGGGCTCCTGTGTCCTAGGTCCCCACCCCAGAAGGACTTCCGCACCCGCAGCCACGCCCCACGGAGGATTTCGCATCTTCGGCCCCTCCCTTGGAGGAGTTCCGGGTCCTTGGCTCCGCCCCCAAGGATTTCCGCGTCCTCAGCTCCTCCCCGGGGGTGGGGGGGGGGGAAGGACACTCGGTAGTTCTGCGCACGCGTAGTGGCCATATTGGCGGTAGACGCTCGTGTACTGGTGTTAGGTTTCCTTGTGTGGTGCGAAACCCTTCGTGTAGACCCTAATTACAGTGTCTCTTCTCCGGTGAGTCCATATTTCTGGTCATCACGGAACTCTGGCCGCCGTCCCCGCGGGCGGGCAAGCGAGGGTCGTAGGCGCCGCGGCGGAGCGCTTCCGGCCTGGAGCCGCGGTGCGATGACTGTGCTTCTGGGAACGGACTGGCCCCTGCCGGGAGCGGTAGGCCCCGCGCGGAGCCGGCGCCCGGGAGTGGACCGGGGGTCGCCGGCGGCCTTGAGCAAATCTTCAGTCTGAGCGGGACCGGCACAGGAAAGTGAGCGCTGTTGGGGTGTTGGCTTCCCCAGAGTGGGCCTCGTCGCGAGTCACGGCCTCCGTCAGTGCCTGCTGGAGTGGGCGTCCCAAAGTGGAGGTCTTGACCCTCTATCTCCTGGCGTAGCCCCCTTCCCTAAGGGAGGAAACTCAGGTTTCTCCTGTGAGTGCGCGAGTCCTGCAGACTTAGTCCCTGGTGACCTGGCACTTGTGAAATGGGCTCTGGAGGCCGAGCCCCAGGTGTCTTCGGCGGGGATAGTGATGATGCTGCGGAGGTTGCCGCCCCATCCCTTCCTTAGCCCAGGACACCAGCACTCTGGTAGAAAGCCTGACTTACGTGCCTTTCTCGGCTCTCCGTGGTCGGAATACTCAGTTTTGTAGTTTCTTCATATTTTCTTAGCTTCAGCAAGTTGCCTCTGGCCCACGAGCTGTCCTGTCTGTTTTTAGCTCAAGCTTTCTCCTCTGTCCGGAGTCCCCCTCCCTTTCCTGTCCCCAGTTCTTCCTTTTGGACCTGAAGGGTCTCATATCTCTTTCTGCCGTGTCTAATTTGGGCTCATTTTCTGGTTTTTTTTTTGTTTTTGTTTTTCAAAACACTTTAAAAATTTTTCCCCATCGCTCATTCCACTCCACCCTAAGTGGCTTAGTTTTCCCATGGCTTTGTGAGCATCTGCTTGTGTTCCTCGCGCGAACACCAGAAAGTAAGCTCCTCAGCACAGGGATGGTCTTACCCATCCTGGTATTCCCACGTCCAGCATGGTGCCTGCTGCACTCAGTAGCTGCACCATTAACTTAGCTGAATGAAGGGAGTGAATGAGACAGATTCTTTTAAAGCCATGGAAGTGCTTTTTAAATTGTAAGTTTCATTTTAACAAGGGTCCTATTTTCTTTTCACAGGAGCCGTAAAGTCCAGGAAACATGGTGAGTTATACACATGTCTGGAAGCTGTTGCCCGAGCCCTGCCTGAGAAAGTCGGAGTGGTGGGAACGGGTGGCATGGTGTCTCCGCCTTCCCCACTCCCTCTTGCACACGCGGCTTTGGGTGCTGGGGTGTGTTTTCTGAGGTGATCTGGGGCCTTGCAGGGGCTGCTTTCAGTGGATGGGAATCACCAGTATGTTTTCCATTGCAGTCTCGAAGATATGACTCCAGGACCACTATATTTTCTCCAGAAGGTAAAAAGAAATTGTATAATCTACCTCAGAATTTTTTTAATGTTTTTGACTTCAGGGGGAAAATATCACGACACTTGTTTTAACAGTAGTTCATGCTCTCTGTGCTTTGACATATGACAGTGACCAGGTTAATCACATGCAGCATGGGAGAATGACAGTGGGACTTGAGCGTGTGGCGTGTGAGTGTCCCTGCGCAAGTTCCTGGCCTAGGCGCAAATAGCCTGGGGTGAGCCTTGCTTTCTCACTGCTTGTGTTTTGCAGGGCGCTTGTACCAAGTGGAGTATGCCATGGAGGCGATCGGACACGCAGGCACCTGTTTAGGAATCTTAGCAAACGACGGTGTTTTGCTTGCAGCAGAGCGACGCAACATACACAAGCTTCTTGATGAAGTCTTTTTTTCTGAAAAAATTTATAAACTCAATGAGTAAGTAAGCTTTGGGGGAAGAGAGTTTAAATGTCTCATATGCTCACATACATAGGATCTCACATATTTTGGGAGGGTGATTCTGTGTGACATTGTACAGTTGAAGTGAACACTTTATTGTGCTTTTACTGGTGGAAGTTTTTTATTTTTATTTGAAATCTTGAGGCTTAGGACTACATGTTACTCTTTTGAAGTGTGGGGCCAGGCCCTTAGTGGAGAAATGGTATTTTGTGTTGGTGAGATTAGAGGTATTGTCGTTGCACAGACCCCGGTTCAGTCTGTGTGACCTCACACCTGTTGTTTCACTGCTCTGGGCCTCGGTGCCTCCTTGAGTGGTTGTAGCAGTGAAAGGAAATAGAATAAAATGAGTGAGAACAAGTAGCACCATGTCTGACACATAGCGGGTCCTCAAAATTGTCCAGAGTGGCTACTCAGGAGTTGTGTTGATGATACTGAATCTTACCCCTGGAGATCTGGGGACAGCTTAGACGAGCTATGTTCGTTTGGGATGGTTGGGTGTGTAGGACTTGATAGCAAGCACAGAGCCGGATTTGCCCACTAGAGACTGCCCCTTGAGTGGTGGGCCAGCTGGATGCTGGTTGTAGGGCCTTTTGATGCACTCATCCAAGGATATGTCACGCCTCCAGAGTCACTGCTGGGCTCACTCGGCCTCTCGCGGGTTTGCCATAGTGTAGTGGCAGGTGGTGGCGGCTGGAGGGGAGCCAGGGCAGCCCTTGGAACGGGAGCAGAGAAAGGAACTGCACCCTTCGTCTGAGCCCAGCTCTGAGCTCCTCACCCTGCCCGTTGAGCCAGGCCTTAGGAGGTGAGTTCACTGACTACCCAGGAGCATGGGGTAGTTTTTCTTCCTGTCTGGCAAAGCATTTTCTTTGTTCCTGAATCTTTTCGGGACTTGCTTTATCTTCCTAGTGTTCATTCTCGCCCTGTCTGGCGCAGTGGTGCCAAATCCACCTGTCGAAGACTGAAGGAGCACTGTTCATCTCTCATGTGAGATGATATCAGGTTTCTCCCACAAAGATAAAACTTCTGTAGACAGCAACTGCAGGTTTGAGGCAAGCACATAAACTTCTTTTTATATATATATTTTATTGATTATGCCATTACAGTTCTATTTCCCCCTTCATTCCCCTCCATCCTGTGCACCCCCTCCTTCGCCATTCCCCCCCTTTCGTTTATGTCCATGTGTCTCAGGTTCTTTAGATTCTATATTTCCCCTATTATTCTTGCCCTCCCTCCTATCTATTTTCTGCTTAGCATCTGTGCTACTTATTTTCTGTACCTTCTCCCTCTTTCTCCTCCTCTCACTCCCCTGTTGCTAACTCTCCATGTGATCTTCATGTCTATGGTTCCGCTCCTGATCTAGCTGTCCTCTTAGTTTGCTTTTGTTTTAGGTGTGGTTGTTAATAACTGTGAATTTGCTGTCCTTTCACTGTTCATCTTTTTTATCTTTTTCTTAGATAAGTCCCTTTAACATTTCATATAATAAGGGCTTGGTGATGATGAACTCCTTGAATCTGATCTTATGTGAGAAGCACTTTATCTGTCCTTCCATTCTAAATGACAGCTTTGCTGGATAGAGCAATGTTGGATGTAGCTCTTTGGATTTTATGACTTGGAATATCTCTTTCCAGCCCCTTCTTGCCTGTAAGGTCTCTTTTGAGAAATCTGCTGACAGTTTGATGGGAACTCCTTTGTAGGTGACTGTCCTCTTATCTCTTGCTGCTTCTAGGATTCTCTCCTTCATTTTAATCTTGGCTAATATAATTATGGTGTGCCTTCGTGTGTTCCTTTTTGGGTCTATCTTCTTTGAGACTCTCTGAGCTTCCTGGATTTTCTGGAAGTTTATTTCCTTTGCCAGATTGGGGAAGTTCTCCCCCAATCTGTTCAAGTTTATTATTTGTTCAAGTAAGATTTCCACTTGCTCTTTCTCTACCCCTTCTGGTACCCCTATAATTTGGATGTTGGAGTATTTAAAGATGTCCTGGAGGTTCCTTAGCCTCTCCTCATTTTTTTGAATTCTTGTTTCTTCATTTTTTTCTGTTTGGTCATTTTTTTCTTCCTCCTGGTCCACTCCCTTGATTTGAGTCCCAGTTTCCTTTTCATCACTATTGGTTTCCTGTGCATTTCCCTTCATTTCAATTAGTTTAGCCTTCATATGTTCCTCTAATTTGTGACTAAAATCAGCCAGTTCTGTGAGCATCCTGATCACCAGTGTTTTGAACTGTGCCTCATATAGGCTGGCAATTTCTTGTTCGCTTAGATTTATCGGCTCTGGGGATCTGGGTTCTTCTCGAACCATGTTTTGATCTATTCTCGCCTTTAACGTATGAGGAGAGTAGCCTTAGGTGTTCATCAGGGCGGGGCCACCCAGGTCGCTGGGTTGTGACACTGTATGTGGGGGCGGGGTCAGAGAGGGGCGATGGCGGTCCCCTCTGCTGCTTCCCGCAAGCTGCTGGGGCCTGCGCGATCTGTCTCACCTCACCGCTAGCTCCTTTGCCTGGTTTATCTGCACGCGAATGTGCGACTGAGAGCAGCCTGCCACCCTGCGCCCTCAGTGGGTCCATCCATTGCTACTCCACACCTGGGATTAGTCCTCGGCTGCCTGCACCCCTGAGTTGGGAGCCTGGGTCCAGAGCCCGGGTCTTGAGCCTGGGTCGGTCCGGTGGATCTTTCCTGCCTGACCCCTGCTCCACTGCTGGCTCTGCCCCCCTTACCGGTCTGGCTGAGTGGTTCGTTGTTGTCAGACTTCAGTATAGTTCAATTTTCTGTGGTTTGGCTGAGTTTTTGTTGCTAAAACTTTGTTGTTTTTAAACTTGGTTTTGCGAGAGGGCACAGTGTTTCCACCTATGCCTCCATCTTGGCGGAAGTCCTCGCAAGCACATAAACTTCTAAGGGAACTTGGCACTCTGCAGTGCTTGTGCAGGACCCTCCCAGATGCACATTGGTACATTTCTCTTCCTCCAGGGACATGGCTTGCAGCGTGGCTGGCATAACTTCTGATGCTAACGTTCTCACTAACGAGCTGAGGCTCATCGCCCAAAGGTACAGTCAGAAGGAGCAGAACTGAGGGTGCACATCATTTTGATATTTCTAAGAAGTCGTTTTTGCAAAGATTGAAGTCATTTAAAATCTATTAATTTAAAATTATTATTACTTTTTAATCCAAACTTGTAAACTGTTATCTGTAAGTCTGTTAGGATGCTGACATCCCCCCGCCCCAACTCCCCTTTCAGATCACAGGTGACTGTTACGCTGTCCTTGTGGTGCTGATTTATGTTTAGAGGGCAGTTTGCTCAGAATACATACGTATTTTACAAAAAAACCTTGCTGTGCCGATTTCTCCATCCTAGGTACTTACTGCAGTATCAGGAACCAATTCCTTGTGAGCAGCTGGTCACAGCACTGTGTGACATCAAGCAGGCTTACACACAGTTCGGAGGTATGATGTTTGGGACAAATTTTATCCTAGAAAGGGAAAACATTTTCTAAGTAATATGATATTTTTCAGATGGTAAAAAGAAATTGAAAATTAAGCAAGTACTGTTGACATATTTTTGCTTCATGAAATAACTGGTTTCCATAATGTAGGTTATCATATGTTTCATTAATAGACTATCGAGAGGCCAAACGAACATTTTCAAATCTGGGAACACGTTGCTTTCTGCATAGTAATTAAACTTAGCACTAAGCGCAGGTCCCCTGCATCTGCATTTGTCTCTTGGCTGTGTCCGTGTCCTAGAAACCACAGCAGGCATTTGGACGGGCCTTATCTCTGGTGGCCAGAGCAAAGCAGTTCATGAATTTGTGGCTTCACAGAAAGGGATTTCAGCTACCTTCAGGGAGCTCAAGTAACTGTAGCAAGAGTAAATTTAGACTGTTGATGTGTTTGTTCTCTTTCTTGGCTAAAGGGAAACGTCCCTTTGGTGTCTCGCTGCTGTACATTGGCTGGGATAAGCATTACGGCTTTCAGCTCTATCAGAGCGACCCTAGCGGAAATTATGGGGGATGGAAAGCCACGTGCATTGGAAATAACAGTGCTGTGAGTATTCTTGTGTTGCTATGAAATCTAGCAAAAGGTGTAATAATCACTGTAATTTTGAAATCGTGATGAACGTAAACAGGATTTTCAGATAGCTTCAGCAACTTTCGTGTCTGTGATTGCTGTTGGTAATGATGTCGCAGGTTCTGCTAATACTCCTGGGGTTTATTGGCTGGATTTGTAACTAAAGGAGATGCTAATTTTCAGTGAAAAATTGTGAAAATTTTTTTCACATCCTAGTTCATAACTCCCTCCCCTGAATTCTGTCAGGAGTCCTTGGAGGTTGGAGGCCCCAGTTAGAGACCCCATTCACAGAACGTCCACACCCTGCTCCGACCCCTCCCATGGAAGTCGTTAATGTGATTATATGCCAATAACCGTTCAGGCATCAGTCTCCTGCCCAGTCCGTGTTCCTGAAAATGCAGACATTTAAAGGACATCCCTCTGTTGCTTCTTCCTGTTTTGTAGGCAGCTGTGTCAATGCTGAAACAAGACTATAAAGAGGGGGAAATGACCCTGAAGTCAGCACTTGCGTTAGCTGTCAAAGTCCTCAATAAGACCATGGACGTGAGCAAACTCTCTGCTGAAAAAGGTAATTTACGTCCCATCCTCTAATTGGTCACTTTTGTGACCCGGGTTAGGCCTTCAGCGTGTTACCGTACGTCACTGCACCTGCAGCCTTCTGAGTGAGGCGGCCTTACACCTGCCTCCTCCATGAGGACACTGGGGCTTGGAGAGGGTAAGTGACCTGACCAAGGTCCTAGGGGTAGGTCGTGGAGCCCCAAGCCCATTCGCCATTCCAAGCTGAAGTACTAGAGCCCAGATGTCCTCACTGGTCACTGTCGGAGGTGTGAGCGGTGCTGCTTTCAGTTAATAATCATCTCACCGACCTTTGGGTGGTGATGTTGGTGCCATGTGTACATGGGTGAGCATGTGTGTACTTACATTTGTGTTCGTGTATGCTTTACCAGAGGAGTGACGTGGGTGTGTGTTGTGGTATCTGTTCTCGTGAGTCCACTGATCTCATATATTAAGCCCTCATTTGCAATTTTAAGTGCTTTATTTAGCTTAAGTTATGTAACCATATAAAACGGTACTTCTAAATAATGTTTTCCAGAAATTGTAAACGAGCACATTGAGGTAGCTTAGGTGACTTCACCCCAGTTACCCTGAGAACACAGCCACCACCTGCAGATTGCCCCTGTAGTGTGCTCCCGCCCGTGTTCAACCCGTGCTCCACCCACCCTGCTCAGAAAAGCCCTTTCACTTTCCATTCAGTACGTTTTTCTTGTCCATAGTCATGGAAGCTTCTGCTCATGCCTTTGTTTTGAAAGAGATTTAACTAGTGCATGAGAAATGAGCATAATGACTGATCTGAGATTCTGGCCGAGCCTGGAGATCTTCCTGCAGGGAAGTTGTGTGTCCTTCTGTTCAGTACAGCTTACAGCAGGTCGGCTCAAGCAGTTGGCTGGTTTTACTCTTTCCAAGAAAGTGACAAAACAGCAGCTCAGGAGGTGGGAATGGGTGAGGAGAAGGAAAGTAATTTAAGTATGAATGTTAATAATAAAAGTGTCTGTGAATCATATTGAGCATAAGACATGGAGGAGTGGTGAGTACGGGTGGAAATGATGAGGGGGTTAGACTGACCGCCTGCTGGTCTGTGGGCTGAGTCCTGCCTGTGACACAGACGTGTGTGTGTGTGTGTGTGTGTGTGTGTGTGTGTGTTTGCTCCTAGTGGAAATTGCCACGCTGACCAGAGAGAATGGAAAGACGATCATCAGAGTCCTCAAACAGAAGGAAGTGGAACAGCTGATCAAAAAACATGAGGAAGAAGAAGCTAAGGCTGAGCGTGAGAAGAAAGAAAAAGAACAAAAAGAAAAGGACAAATAGAGGACAAAATCGGGGATTTTATAGCTCATTTGGGTCCATTTCAGCATGGAGTGGAAGCTGCCCCTCTGAGCCTGGAGAGTGTTGGCTTTTTACCTGGATGGTGGGAAGTGGGCGGAGCGTCTGACTGGGCCCTCCCTCTCTGTCCAGTTGGATGGTGATTGCTCTTGGACCTTTTAATACCCCTCCCCCTTTTTTGGGAATAAAACTTGGAAAAAATGGAAATGGTGAAGGGAATTTGTCTGTAGCACTAATTGCTGTATAACAGGGTTAAGGGTCTGATCTTCCCTGTGGTACTCGCTGTGGCAGCTCTGTAGGTAGTCACGTAAAGTGCTGACACTGATGGAGATGGGAGCATCACAGGCAGGGGAAGATGGGAATCATGCCCTGAAGGGTTCCTTTGCTGTGTCCCCACCTCTCGGTGAACCTGTGGCCCTAGGCCTCTGAAGCAGGGACCACACTTGCAGGTGCTGCCTGCCTTTGGTGTCAGTGGGTAGTCCTGCTGGATCTCAGGTTTGTATCTGCACACACATGTACACCCATGGTCATGCAAACCACTGCAGTGCCCGCTGTGCCCTCAGGGATGGGGTAGTCAGTACTTTTGCAGCCCCGTGTGTCCTCCAGATCTGTTGTCTCCCTCCCCCTCCATGCCCAAGAGAGAACTCCAGTTCTATGGTTCTTTCGTATGGTTCTCACAGTCTGGTGTTCTGTCCCTCTTCTCTGGTGGGCACATCGCTCAGGCGGGCCAGATGACCTGTGTCTCCCCATGGATGGGTTTGAGAGTGAGCTTGTGGACTGAGCCACGCTGGACCACATGGGTGTGGGGAACACTGCTGAGGAGCCTGTAGCCGGCTCATGGGCGGGGATATGCAGGAAAGAGATGAAGGCCACAGAGGAGAGGAGTACAGTCTTGGCCGAAGGGGGCCCCACTTAGTTTACTGTCGCTTCTGCAGAGTCCTCGATTGTAGTGCTGTGGGGTGGTGCACCCACCTACAGCATCACCCAGAATTCACTGGCTGTGCAAATCCCAACATCCCATCCCAGACCCATGGAAGATGGAGATCCTGGAGTAGAGAGCCCAGCCATCTGATGAGCTCTGCACGAACATTTGAGACACTATTTGCTGCATGTTAGAATCACCTTGAGTGCTTTTAAGTCTGTGCACAGACTGTGCTTCCTGCTGATGAAGTCAGCCTCGGGTGGGGCCCTGGCCTCAGTATTCCTTCAAATCTCCACAGGTAGCTGACAGAAAGGCTGGGATGGGACCCAGTGCCCTGAGGCACAGCAGGCCCCTCCCACTCAAGGGCACGAAGGAGCGTAGTAGGTTCCTTGTAGTTTTCTGTGGTGTTCAGGCCAAGGTGTTTCCAAGTCCCTTTGACACAGTGCTTTTTGAATCAGCTTTTCTTTGCACAGTTAACTCTTGTTATTCATGGTTGCTGTGAGGTCACTGTGAGCACACTTAGCAGGTGCTGGCTGCTGTCCCCACAGGGAACACTGCATTAGGTTCAGTTGGTCCTCTGGTCATGGCACTTTCATCACCTGATTGATACATAACCTTGTTTTGTGTGTGTTTCTATTTTAAAACATTTAATATACTTTGGTAATTCATTCATATCAAACTCTTGGCCAAGAGTACTCTGTGTGCCTAAATTAAACTCTAACAAGTATTTTCTCTGTCTTACAGCTTACAATTAGTCACGTACATTTTATTTCATTGTTCAGACTAAAAATTGTCCATTCTTGAATGAATTCAGAATTACATGAAATAGAATAGTTACCTTTCTTGGTTTATTTATTTATTTGTTTGTTTATGTGGTAACAGCTGTATTGAGATGTAATTCACATACCATATAATGTACCCATTTCAATTCTGCACCCATCATCACATTCAATTCTGGAGCATTTTCATTGCCCGAAGAAGAAGCCCTGCCACACTGTGCCATCCCCCAGAAGGTGTCCTCCAGCCCGAGGACACCGCTGATCAACCTACTTCCTGTCCCTACAAACTTGCCTGCACTGGACATTTTACGTAAGTGGGGTCGCACAGCTGTGGTCCTCTGCAGCCGGCGTCTCTCCCTCAGGGAGTGTTGTGTTGTCGAGGCTCGTCCATGGTGCGGCAAGGTCAGTAATTTGTGTCTCTGTTTACTAGACACGGAAAATGACGGCACGATTGCATTTCCTTCTATTACTGAATAATGCTCCTTGCTCATTATGTTTGTTTACTCGTCAGCTGATGAACATTAGGGGCGTTTTCATTCCTCTGAGCTATATACACTGAGAATAGAATTGCTTGGTCATACCTTGCTTCATTTTTACCTATCTTTACTACCCTACATTCATATTACTGATACAGATTTTTAAAAGGAGTCGCCTTTCCCCCATTATCTCCTACGACACCCCATAAAAAAGGGAACCAGATTTACTATTTGAGTAAATGTATATGAGTTCGTTAGTGGTCCCTGAGTAGATCTTACAGTTGGAGAGGGTTTTCACTTCTTTCTTTTTGGCAGGAAGAACCTACTCTCTACGTGCTTGACACCCAGCATCAGTGCAGGCCCAGAGTTCGATTCCGTACCCAACAGCTTTATATAATAATATTCTCTGAGAAATCCTGTTTACAGAGCTCTTCCCTACCAGCAATGGGAGATCTCGTCCAGGAACAGTTATCTTCTGAGTCCTGAACAATCTAATACATTTTTCCGGTCACAAAAGCGGTACAAACTCTCATTGGAAAATACACAATGAACTACATAAAAAGCGACTCCTCTCTGCTGCCTGGAGTCAGCACTGTTGCCTCCCTGGCCCACTTCCGATGCTGAAGCAGCCTGCCGGTGGACTTGGGCAAATTACAGACAAGCTACTTAAAATAGTCTTAAAGGAGTATTTAAAATGTTTTTTCCTTCTCTTTGCTAAAGTGGTTTGCGACCTTAGAAAACCCTGTTTCTCTATACAACAGAGCAGAAGCCATCATTCGGCAATAGTAGTATCAGCTGCTTTCCATTTGTTAATGCTAATTCTCACGATAACCTTGTGGAATATTTATTATAATCACAGCACTCAGTTATTGAGGGCCCACTGCGTGCTGGGTGACACAGGCAACTTCCTCTGATGCAGTTTTCAGAAGATCAAGGCTCATGAAGGCTCCAGGGCTGCCGTCCAGTGTAAGTCCTGGCTGGGGTCCCTTCCCAGGCTGTGGGTGGCCTCCCACGCTCACCCCTGCCGCTCTCCTCCCCCGCCTGCTAGGGTGACCCAGATGCGTAACTCCGACCACACGTCTGTCTTAACTGTGTCTTCAGTTTCCCATTAGAGAAGTTCACAGACTTGCTGTGAAGTGAGCGAAGCTTAAGCTTCAGGAGCCCTCACTTTAAAGGCCTGGGAAGGGATCCTTACAACATATTCTGTGCTCAGACTTTTTGTAAAGTCTGCAAAACTAAGATCTTTTACCTGCAGTTGATGAGTTCTACCATGTGCTGCTGCAATGGAACATATTCGTCCTCAGTCACTTGCATGTGTAGTGAGGTTACTGTTAATCACCCCAGGGTAGAAATGGCTCCTGGTCCGTTTTCCTCCACCCACTGAGTCAGCGTGCCCAGTATGTGACAGGAAGGCATAGAAGCAGAGTTATCACCATCGTCAGAAGGTCCTGGACAGTGGAAGAGAAACAAGTCTTGACATGTCCTGCACCGGAAGTTCGTCTGCAGCAAACGCTTCACCCTCATGTTGTGTGAAGTTATAAGCTGGGACTCAGTTTTCATGACGCCAGAAAAGCTGGGGAAATGCTGCACACGTATGTCAGACTGTTCATGAAAGTCTTCTCGGACACACTTCATTGCCCATCCCTTACTGTCGTCCTGTCTCTGGAACGCTGTCCCCTCTGCACTCCATGTGACTGACACTGCCTCTGTCTCCCGTTCTAGCTCAGGTCACCTCCTCAGAAAGGCATTTTCTGACCATGCCATCTAAAGTAGAATCCCCCACTTCATCATTTTCTGTTTATTTCCTCAAGAATTTCTATCAAATTCTGAAATTACCTCGTGTATTTTCTGCCTTCCTCCCTTGGCAGTAAGTTCCATGAAATCAGAGACATTTTCTTGTTCACTGCATTGTTGGAGAACTTGTACAGTTGATTCTGAAATATTTGCTGAGTGAATAGCCATGAAGTGACAGAGTTAATGTTTATCTGACTTCAGAGACTAAAGGCCAAGCAGTCCCCAATGTTCCAAGAACCCTCTGTATTTGCCACGGAGCGTGGAGCAGTTCAGGTGCGCATGTGAAGCACACAGCCTTTCTCCTCCGGCTCACTAGCGACTGAGAAGATCAACGGTAGCCAAGAATCCAAACACCCTTTGCCATGCTGGGCACTTCAAATATTCTTTTGTTTTGAGAAAATTGAAAACATCAAAAATTCATCAGGCATGTTATGGAAGATTAAGCAAAGATTGCATCTCAGGTGAGACAGCTGTGGAACTGGAAATTACCAAATGATTTCCAATATTGAGACACTGGGATCAGGCAGCTTAGAATCAGATTAAAGATAATCAATTCCCTGGAACAATCAATGCCACCCATTACTTTAACCTTCAGAGGGAGCCTTCAGTATTGCTGAAAGGTTGCTCATCTGGTCTGTCTTCCTATCCATATAGAAAACTTGATGTGAATTAGTTTCCGTAGGAAATGATGGGAAAGCGACCTCTGGCTAAACAAAGGAACAGAGCAGATAATTAGAACAGATTCTCAAACTCACTAGGAAGGCAGCTCCATCTTGGTTTCATCGGAACTTTGCTTCCCTAAACGCATTATATTGTAGTTTACAAATTACAAATGGAAGTGGCATGTATTTAATTGTGAATTTTCTTGTGTGCTTCTGAGAATCAGAATTTTATAATATTTCCTGATAAAAGTGGGAATAATCTGGGAACAATTAAACCGATAATCAATTAAACTCTGTGATGGCAGTTCTCTTAGCCACAAATTTCTGGAGTGTTTGGATCTATACCTGCAATATAACTTGCTTTTTGCACTTATTTTATGATATAAATTCTACCTTTTTCATAGAATCAAACATTTGCAATTGTGTCTTGCAGATGACAAAATAAGGGCAGAACTTTCTTTTTAAAATCCATAATAGTATGTCACCTATGAAGATCACTTAATGCAATAACTATTTATATATTTCTACTACTCTGTGTTCAGTGAGTATACAAATGGTGAGCATCTACATATTAAATAATTGGAAGTTTGCTGATGGAGTTTATCTACAGAAATTCATATTTGCCTTTGTTTTACTTCAGACATCATTTGTTTTTAGTAGCTGTGAGATATCATTGACATAAAAATTGTGTATTTAAGATGTACAACTTGATATTTGTAAAGTTTCTGAAAGGATCCCCACCATGAAGCTGATTAACAGATCCACGCCACATACACAGGTACCATTTTGTGTGTGTGCGTTTTGAGATTTGTGATCTTTTTGGCCAATTAGAAGTATATAATACAGTTATATTTGTCTTTTAAAATTCTTTTATGATTTGTCACTCTTAGATGTAAATGTTTTCAACACTTAAGGAGCATAGAATATTGCACTGAACTTTCTTAAGTGGGAAAACAAAATATTCACTTGTAACAGGAGCTGGTATTTGTCCAGGATACATTATAATATTACTCTGCTTTGTCGTGAATTGCTGTTTCCCATTTACTTTGTTTTCCTGTCAGTAATTAGGTCTCTGACATTGTGGTATGTATGCTGTTATTAAATTCTACTGAGACAGCTCAGTTTTATAAATGGTGTATATTTTTTGTGAGATGATTTTATACACCACTATTTAGTTATTACAATCTAATAAAATACAGCCAATTAATTTTTTTCCTAAAGCTCTCTACTTTAAAATATGTCTGCACTTTTGCCCTGGCTGGTGTAGCTCAGTGGATTGAGCGTGGGCCTGTGAACCAGAGGGTTGCAGTTCGATTTCCGGTCAGGGCACATGCCTGGGCTGCAGGCCATTTCCTGGTGGGGGACACACAGGAGGCAACCATACATTGATACTTCTCTCCCTCTCTCCTTCCCCTCCCCTCTAAAGATAAATAAATAAAAATATCTTTAAAAAATATGTCTGCACTTTTACATTTCATAGCAGCTATAGAAATAGTCCCCGAAAGAGACCTTATACTTTTTTTTATCATTTCTTTTGAAGGGTTGCAATTTAATATTTTATTAATACTTGCTTTCCCCCCCTTTAATTTGTGAAAATGCACTAAATTTTAGCAGTAAAATGGACAACATGCATTTTTATCTTTAACTAACATTTCAGTTTGATTTCACCTTAAAGGCTCACAGCAGAATTTATCGCCAAGCTGTAATGGAAATGCTGAATGGAAGATTTGGAGACTCTGCCCAGCTCCAAATTTAGCTCAGCTGACCCCGTTATAATAAATAAGAGTGAACAACTACATTGATATGAAAGACAACTCATTAGGTCACACCACTTGCAGATGACAATGTTTATTTTTGATTTCTGCTATTTATTTAGTCTTTGTAATTGCAAAAGCACATCAAAGAGTAACTGCCACACAAATGCTAACGACCACCACCTATAGAACATCTGGGCCCTGCTGGTGTGAAGGCAGCACTTTGCAGACTAGGGATGGGCCTACAGAGAGAGGTTAAGTTTGGTTTTTGAAGGCAGGACACTGGAGCTTGTATTTCTGCTCACCATTTTCTAGCTCACTAGCTTGGAGGTCTTGGGCAAGCTATTTAAAATTCATTTATTCATCCACCAATCCATCCGAGCATCGACTGCGTGCTCAGTATACGGGGCACACGCCCGGGAAGAACAGACGCAGCTGCTGGAGCTCATTTCTGTAGGGAGAATTAGACACACTGAAGGGTAGTTAATTACAAATTGTGACAAGCGCGGTGAGGAGAGGGGACGGAGCAGTGGCAGAGTAACAGGCAGAGGGTGTGGAGGACCCAACATAGCTCCGTGATAGGAGTAAAAGTGCCCTGGGAGTGTGGAGAAAGCCATGGCTAGTGGGCAAGTGGCGTTTGAAATGGGGCTGAAGAAAGGGTTTGTATATTCAGGGGAGGGGAGAAGGAGCAGGATGTGCAAAGACAAGAGCGTGTAACAAAAACAGTCTTCAGAGGAGAGTGTGGTTGCTGATGTACCACAAAGATTGTATGACAGTCCTTGGTCAGATCTGAGAGTTGGTGGGCAGACACTGCTTTAAGAGACTGCTGTAGGTGGCGGCCCCAGCAACAGCAGCAGTTGTCGGTGTCCTGTGCTCAGCCGGCGTCTCCTGGCAGCGAGAAAGCGCCCAGTTACCTGCAACCACCACGTGCAGTGACTGAGAGTAATCGGTGTATCCTAGGAAGAGCCATATAAGATGCACCCATTACATTCTATAATTATCAGCTTGGATCTTAATGCGCCCAACAAATTATACACTTTGACTTTCACTTGAAAGCAGTAACAACTAGTGTTTCTTGCAGGTTATGTAAATACTAATTGTGGTTCTTGTGGTTATTATTGTTTTTACGCTTCACCCATTTGCGTGTCATCCTTACACGGGGGCCACGCTAATCTCTGTATTGTTCCCATTTTAGTGCATGGGCTGCGTAAGCGAGCGCTTATGGTTATTGACACAGCACTCTGGGGATGTCAAGGAGTCCAGTTCCGCTTGCTGTGGCGGAACTGAAAACCATTTAATTCTAGTTTTCCCGCTGACAGGTACTGTGACCTTCAGCGGTTGTTCAGCCACTTGGTTCCAGGTCTCCTAGCTGTAGAAGCGCAATCGCTGTCGGGGGGAGTTGCGTAAGTATCTGTATGCCCCATAAATTATTTATAGAAAAATAGAAACTTGCAATGAAGGGACAGTAAGTACTATTTTTTTCCTGTGCAGAGGTGTCCTGAGTGGCAAACATAGTCACCACATTGCATCCCTTTTCTGTGGCTCCTTTCTTTAAATCCAGTTATGCAGACTAATTTCAATGGCTTTTGTTTCTATCTTCCTGGATGTACTTGGACCTAGGGGAAAAAAATCAAACCATATTTACAGTTAGGATTTTCTGCAGCCAGGTTTAGGTTTTACAAAGCGGAATTTGGAGTGAAATGTCTGCTCACAAGGTGTCTCAGAAGTGTCACCTCCATAAATCTCTCTGTGAAGAACCAGTGACACGCTCTGCCACTGAGGCTTAAAGATAATTTGCCTGAATCTTTACAGCAAGAGGAAGCTTCCTAATCAATTATGGACAGAAGGGATGAAATGGAGGGTGTAGCGGGGTGTGCGACGGGCCTGGCGCTGTCAGCATCTATCAACAGTGGGGTCACAAGTGTCTGGGGCAGATGGAATCACTGTATTTACAGACATTAATTGGTGGCAGTGTGAAGGGGACTATTTCTCCAGATGAGGGTCAGTCCTCCCGGTTACCTGCTTCTTATAAAGATGGAGAAACTGGCCCAGGCAGAGGGCTGACCTGAGACCAGGCCTCCTGCAGGGTCGCTTGGCCCCTACAGCCCCAGGAGGCCACAGGATGCTGGGAGAGATCATTGGCAGTGGGTGATCTGGGGGCATATCACGGTTTTCTGTCTGTGTGTCTATCCACTCTTGGTGCAGGTATTTATCCTAGGTGTGCTGGGGCCCACCCAAGGTTTCTGGAAGGTACACCGGACCTGCCTGTGACACTGGCCTCGGAACCTCCTAACTCCAGGGCTGCTCTTGCCACCTGCAGGGCAGGAGCTGGAAACACAGGGGATAGGTCTAAAGGCAGGGGCGGAGCCGGAGTCCAACTGTGTGGGACTGGGATGGGCTCTGAGTAAATGGGGTGGGGCCAGAATGGGCGGGACAGAGCTAGTTGCTAACGGGTCAGAGCTGAGGAAGCATATTTATTTTTTAAAAGTATATTGATTATTGATTATGCTATTACAGGTATTCCCTAACAGTTGTCCCATTCTGGCTTCTGCATTTCCTATACTGTTCTTTTTAAAAATGTATGTCTTATTTATTTTTAGAGAGAGGGGAAGGGAGGGAGAAAGAGGAGAGAAAGAGCAATGTGTCGTTGCCTCTCCTCTGCCCCCTACTGGGGACTGGGCCTGCAACCCAGGCATGTGCCTTGACTAGGAATCGAACTAGCTACTACCTTTGCTAGTTGAGCACCTTTGCTTCACAGTCTGGTGCTCAACCCACTGAGCCACCCCAGCCAGAGCTCCTATACTATTCTTAACTATCACCTGTCTATTTTTGTACCTACAAATGTATGTGAAGGAGCATATCTAGAAGCAGACAGTGCGGGATGGGGAGGGGCCAATGCTGAGGGGCGGGGCTTGGGCGGGGCAAACGTGGCTGCTCCTCGCCTGCCGGGCTCCTCACTCCGCTCCTGTGCTCCAGGTACCAGACGCTGCGGAGCTGCCCGGCTGGATCCTCCCGCAGCTCCATCCTGAGTCCGCTTTCCCGCGGGCCCGTCGTGAGGCAGCTCCTGGGGTGATGGCAGCGTGGGGGTCCCGGCCCGCAGTCCTGCGCCTCCTGCTCCTCGTCCCGCTGGTTGCCGGGCGCCAGGGTCCGGGCGGCGCACCCGGAGGTGAGCCTGGGCGGCGGGGCACGGGGCTGTGGGCACCGGAGAGCCGGGAGGACGGACGGCTGCGCTTTTTCCCTGGGGGCCTGGCTTGAGGGGGGTCCTTGAAATGCCCAGATGGTCACGGTAATAAAGGGAAAGGCCGCTTGGCATGTCCCCTGACAAGCCTCACGGGACTGTGAGGGGACAACTCAGTCAGTCAGAGACGTGCCCAGTTGCACTTGGAAACCCGCCCTTTTGCCCAGAAGCGAGTGTGGAAGTCGCGCCCCAGCCTTCCCTGGGTGGCGTGTTTCCCGCGGAGACAGGAGGCTGAGGACTCCGTCAGCTGTCAGCTTAGCGTGTGTGGGGCCCCTGAGGTGGGAACTCAACATGGACAAGGGGAGAATCCTCTAAGCAAGAGGCAAAACTGAAGACAGCGGTTATGTCTGTTTTTTTCATTGCTTTTAGGGAGAGAGGGAGGGAGGGAGGGAGGGGTGGATCGGTTGCCTCTCATACACAATCGGACTTGCCTTGACTGGGAATCGAACCCGTGACCTTTGTTCTACAAGATGATGCTCCAACCAGCTGAGCCACACAGGCCATAGCAGTAACTCTGTTTTTATAAGTGAAGTTCTTAAAAAGAGGAAACATTTGGGTATAAGAACTCTTTCCTTGTTTCTCTCTCACACTGATTTTTGTTTTAAAGAACTCTTTCTTGTCTTTCCTCTCTTGAAGTTTTTAAACCTTAGGAGATTGGCTTCTGATTCCAGAAAGCAAGAATCTTGAGTAGAATTATGTATTGTGGATTGCATTGCTTTGTGTAGACTGAACAGGAGTAATGTGGAAGGCATTTTCAGCAAATAAAGAAAGTCCTGTGCAGAGAGAGTTGTAGTTTAACAGAGAAAAAGGAATGTGATTCTGTAGCTAGACAAAACTAGGCTCACATTATGGCCCCCAATGTGACTTGGACAAGCTTCCTTCTTTTAAAAAAAGTGGGGACAATACAGCTTACCTCTGAGTTGTTTGCAGGATTCAATAATATGTACGAATTTCCAGGTACTGTGCCCGACATTCCAGCAAAGGGTAGTTCCCTACTCCTTTTGGTGAAAGGGGAACTTTTTCCATCTCTTTTAATATAAACATGACAGAGCGTTAAAGAGCGTAAATAGCTATTTGTTCATGTGTGTGTCCAGTGTTATAGTGAGAAGTGATCACCTCCTCCTTTCTGCCCCCACCCTACTTAGTGACCCCTCTTGTAATAACCCTCGAGTCACATTACAGTCGTGTGGCTTTTCCCCTTGGTCCATCGTGAGCTCCTTCAGAACAGCCGTTTATCCTGCTTGTCTTTTTACCTGGAAGGTAGCACCTACTGTAGGAGCCAGTCAATGTTTGTGGATGAATGAATGGGTAGTAGTGTCCTCAGCTGTGAAATGAAGGATCAGCAAAGGCTCCCTGTTCTTAGTCAGCGACCAGATAAAGAACAAAGTGATGTCGAATAGATGGTGGATTGCACAGTGCTGCTAAATGCCGTAGGCTTTCCTATGACATTCCCTTTGAATGGAGGTTGGCTGCGGTTGAAGACCTGTCATTATGTTTTCCTGGGCGTGTCGCTTGACCTTGCCGCTCCTTTATGTCTCCCTCTTTAAAATGAGAGGGTACTGGGAGATGGTTCTTAGGTCTTTCAACCATAATTGCTTTTACATTTACATTTTCTTCATACTCGACTTAGAGTCTTAATAATAGCTCTTCCTTATGGTCTTTTCTGTGAACCAATCTTCAGGTAAAGGGAACATCTAATCTGCCAGCAGCCATTTGGCTGTGAAAGGTGGCTCAGGAGGCACTTTTGCCTGTAATAAAGAATAGATAATTAGCTGTTACATTAAGATAATACAGGTTATTTATTTATTCAATTAGCAATAATGGTGCCTCGGATAAACCTCATTTGCTACGATACTGCCACTGCTATAATAATGCAGGTCTTTTAAACAGATCTGGCCGTGACTGGGGGAGTGACTTATGGAAATTAGGGAGTGGAGAGTCAGTTCTACTTCTTAGCTTTGTAGTTCTGTGAAACTTTAAATGATTGAAACTTTATTTTTATTTATCAACTACTTTCTTATTTATTTTTGAAGATTTAATTATTTTTAGAGAGAGGTGAAGGGAGGAAGAAAGAGAGGGAGAGAAACATCAGTGTGTGGTTGCCTCTCGCACACCCCCATTGGGGGACCTGGCCCACAACCCAGGGACATGCCCTCCTTCACCAGGACTCTGTTGGGTGCCCTTTTGGTTTGTAGGCCTGTGCTCAATCCACTGACCCACGCCAGCCAAGGCTAGAAGAAATTTTTTTAATGATTCTCTTCTGCTTTCTGATTAAGTTTTAAAAAAAATTGTTGCTATTAAGAGAGAGAGAGAGAAATAAACATTGATATGCTATTTCACTTGTTCAAGCATTCATTGGCTGATTCCTATGTGTGTCCTGACCAGGGACCAAACCTGCAATCTTGGTGTATCGGGACAATGCCGAACCAACTGAGCTACTTGGGCAGAGCTGAACTTTTGATTTATTCTTATTTCTTTTTCTCTACGTCAGGGTTTCTTAACTTCTGGGGCTGGATAGCTCTTTGTAATAGGAGACTTTCCTGGGCTTTGTAAGCTGTGTAGCAGTATCCCTGGCCTCTATATACAAGATGTCAGTGGCACCCACCAAAAAATGTCTCCAGCTCTTGTCTAATGTGCCTTAGGAAACAAAATTGTTTCCCACTTAGTGCCTACAGTCTTTGCCACCTTGAGAATCACTTCTCCAAGTCTTGTGGACCAGGGCTTCTCAAACTGTCAGGGCACCAGCATCCCCAGAGGCTGTGGTGACAGAGTAGGTGCCAGGTAGGCTGGATGTGGGGCCTGAGACTCTGCCTAACAAAGCACCTAATAAGGTGCTTGTTGTGGGTTCGAGCAGCACAATTTGAGAGCGCAGTCATAGAGAAGTTTCCTATTCACAACAACTGGCTGGATTGTCAAGAGGATCTGATGACAACGATTGTGGAAACAGAGAAGTTATAATAAAGCTCAAATATCATAAGACCAATAAAACTAATAAACAGCATTCCACCGTCCTGGAAATTGCACCTATCATCACATTTACAAGTTTCTGTCTAGTCCTCAGCATTCACTCACTGGATGGTGCTAAGGGGGACTTTGCAAGTCTCATCAAGGTCACGTAGGTCATAGGAACTGAGGAAATTTCATGTATATTCAGGTGTTTCAGTTCATAATCCTATAAACCTACAAACTCATAATATATATTTACTGCCTATGGAGAGGTTTATGGTATCAAATTACAATAGCGAACTCAGCATTTGCTTAATCTGATGATGCTCACATTTTTTTTAAAGAGTGTGTAAATTGTCGCCTCTCCTTGAGAAGTATTGACTGGACCTAAATTTAAAACTGCCTGGGGTCACTTTCTCACTGCAAGTGTTCTGAGTCAGGGCAAGCTTAAAGTAGGTTTCCTAAAGCATATTCACCACAGAGAAACTTTATAATTCTGTGATAAAAATCAATAGAAAAATAATGAAAATCCTGGGGTGGAAAAAAAACCCTGTGCATTTCATCTATAATTCTTAAAATAATGATTGGTAAGCATAGTTATTTGTCACATTGAAAATGTTGGATGTAGTGCACATTTCTGCTCAGTTACAAAACAGTTGATTACGTTCACTGCTGTATCTTGCTGTTGCTTAAAATAGCCCTCCGAGGGCTGCTACAAAAGGACTTTTTAAAAAGGGAATACAAGTCATTTTTTGTTAACTTAAAAAAAGGTACAAAGAAACTTGGAAGGGAGAATTAACTGCTCCAGGAGTGCCTTATTTATGCGCTGGGGATATGACACTATACCACAAAACTTTATATTACAAAACTTTTTAGATATTTCACTTTATTCTTATTACAGATGGTGAAGAAGAAAGGGAAGGTTATTGGCAGTAACTAGCAGGAGGTCAAATGGATATATCCTTGACTCAGCAGTTCCACTTCTAAGAGTCAGTGCCACACATTCTCGTATAGTGGGAAATAGGTGTACAAAATGTTAAGCACCACATTTTTCCATTGAGGTATTGTTAAAACAACCCCAAACTGAGGACTACATAAATGCCCATCAGTAGTGAAACCTTATGTAAATTAGGAAAAACCCATAACCCAGGTTGCTTTGCAACTTACGAAAAAAGACTGGATAGACATACACTGATACAGAGTATTGGATGAAAATAGCAAGTCCTAGAAATTGAAAATAAAACCTTCGTTCTTTCTCTGTGCATGTATTTGAAAGTGTGTACACATCACACTCAACAGCAGTTGCGCTTGGAGGAAGGCGGCCGGGAGGCCAGGAGGGAGAAATGCTTTTCTTCCTGTGCTTCTGGTCGGAATCTTGACAGTGACCACACAGTATTTTCATGATTAGAATGGGAGTCGAGCTGTTCTCAGCAAGGGGCAGGTTTGTCCCCTCCCCTGCCCTTGTGACATTTGGCAATGTCTGGAGATGTATTTTGGTTGTCACGTTTCAGGGGGACTGTATGTAGTGGCTAGAAGCCAGGGACGCTGCCGGACGCCCTGAGATGCACAAGGCAGCTGCTCCGCAATAGTCTCTCCACTTTTTTCACCACTTTTTGATAAGAAAATATGATTTTTCATAGGGGAATGCCAATAGGGGACAGCATCTTGTCTTATCTTCCTAGAATTTGTTCTAAAAACCCTGAGCTATCTATGTAGTTACATACTGAGTTTAGCCAAGAAGACATTAAAAGAACGCTGTAAACTACCTTGATACTACCCTACCTAGTAAGATAATTTATTTCATTTTATCTGCATTATAGGCAGCAAAGCAGAAGTTGTCATTTTTATTAATGTTCTAGAGTGAGAAAATTCAAACGTGCACAAAATGTTCAAATATAATGAAGAGTTCTTGCCATACACTTTTCAGAATTATCGACGCTTTGTGGCCAGATATCCTTATTTATGTAGGTTAGAACATTGTGGCATGTGCAGGTTAACAGCTAATTAGCGGTGCCAAGCATTCAAATTAAGGTTTTTAGCTGTGCAGTCCTTTGTCCTTTCTTTTTTTTTTTAATTTTTTATTGATTATGCTGTTACAGTTGTTCTATTCCCCCCTTCATTCCCCTCCACCTACCCCCATCCCACCATTACCCTCCCTTTAGTTTATGACCATGTGTCTCAAGTCCTTTAGATTCTATATTTCCCATGCTATTCTTGCCCCCCCATCTATTTTCTATCTACTGTCTATGCTACTTATTTTCTGTACCTTCTCCCCCCATCTCCTCCTCCCACTCCCCTGTTGCTAACCCTCCTTGAGATCTTCATTTCTATGTTTCCACTCCTGATCTAGCTGTCCTTTTAGTTTGCTTTCGTTTTAGGTGTGGTTGTTAATAACTGTGAGTTTGCTGTCCTTTCACTGTTCATGTTTCTTTAACTTCTTTTTCTTAGATAAGTCCCTTTAACATTTCATATAATAAGGGCTTGATGATGATGAACTCCTTGAATTTGATCTTATCTGAGAAGCACCTTATCTGTCCTTCCATTCTAAATGAAAGTTTTGCTGGATAGAGCAATCTTGGTTGTAGGTCTTTGGATTTCATGACTTGGAATACCTCTTTCCAGCCCCTTCTTGCCTGTAAGGTCTCTTTTGAGAAATCTGCTGACAGTCTGATGGGGACTCCTTTATAGGTGACTGTCCCCTTAGCTCTTGCTGCTTCTAGGATTCTCTCCTTCATTTTAATTTTGGCTAATGTAATTATGATGTGCCTTGGTGTGTTTCTTCTTGGGTCCAACTTCTTTGGGACTCTCTGAGCTTCCTGGATTTTCTGGAAGTCTATTTCCTTTGCCATATTGGGGAAATTCTCCTTTATTATTTGTTCAAATAAGTTTTCCACTGGTGGCTGTGCCTTTCCCCCTTCTGGTACCCCTATAATTCGGATGTTGGAGCGTTTAAAGATGTCCTGGAGGTTCCTAAGACTCTCCTCATTTCTTTGAATTCTTGCTTCCTGACTCTTTTCTGTTTGGCCATTATTTGCTTTCTTCTGGTCCACTCCATTGATTTGAGTCCCAGTTTCCTTTTCATTGCTATTGGTGTCCTGTGCAATTCCATTCATTTCAATTAGTTTCGCCTTCATATATTTGTCTAATTTGTCGCTATAATCAACCAGTTCTGTGAGGATCCTGATGACCAGTGTTTTAAACTGTGCGCCTGAGAGTTTTGCTATTTCTTCATTGCTTAGATCTATGGGTTGTGAGGCTTTGAGATCTTGCGACATTTTTGGTCTGTTTTGGCTCTTTAAGTGTGAGAAGCGGTGCCTTGGACTCCCAGGTCGCTGGGTTGTGACGCTGTATGTGGGGGCGTGGTCAGAGCGGGGAAATGGCGGCGCCCTCTACTGCTGCTTGCCTCGGGGACCCTCCGGGCCCCGGTCCAACCGCCCACTCCGCTCGCGCACAAATGGGTGACCACAGTAAACACGCAGCACCGCTTCCTCGCTGTCTCCTCCTCTTCCTCGGTCGCTCGCCTGGTGGCTCGGTCGCTCACTAGGTCCAACCCTGCGCCTGGATTCTGCGCGTCTGGATTCCGCACCTGAGTCCGTCTGACCGAGTCCTCCTGTGCAACCCCTCACCAGCCGCTGGTTTCGCCCCTTACCGGTCAGGCTGAAGAATTTGTTGTTAACGGACTTCCGAAAAGTTCAATTTTCCGTGTTCTGGCTGTGTTTTCTGTTGCTAATAGTTGTCTCTAAACTTGGTTGTGTGAGAAGGCACGGCACATCCACCTATGCCTCCATCTTGGCGGAAGTCCCCCTTTGTCCTTTCTTAATCACCACACTGAAATGTTTGGGAGGTAAAATCAGTGTTTTCTGTTGGACCAGAGATGTAGTTGGTGTGAAATGTGACTCCTAGGCTTCTAAGCCATGAGCAGAAATGGGCAGAGGATGGAGCCCCTCACTGAGGCGGGGAATAGTGTCAGCGACCATTTTGGGGAAGATCATGAATTTGGGTTTGTCTGTGTCGAAGATATTCACAAGGCGGTCACCATTAGGTAGAATATTGGGACAAATTTATCATTTTATGTATTTATGCCCTATCTACGAAATATTTTATTTATTTCATTTTAGAGAGAGAGGGGAAGGGAGAGAGAAAGAGAAACATCGATGTGAGAGAGAAACCTAGGTCAGTTACCTCTCACCTGCCTCCAGCGGGGGACCTTTGGGTTTGTGGGACTGCGCCAGACCCACCAAGCCACACTGGCCAGGGCTCTGCTTTCCGTTGAACAAGATTCGAGGTGGCGATTCCAGCTAGCATGTTCCTGCCTAAGGCAAAAGGGCCTTAGTGCTATGAAAAAACCATTTTGTTACTTTTATCTTTTAAGTAACCTTAAACTTTTGGTATTTCAAAGGCCATACAATTTTTAAATAGGATTAAAGAGGAGAAACTATAAAATGAAAAACTTTTAAACATTACACAGAATGACTCTCCAGTGTATAATACTCTAATTCAATTGAAATGTTTCCAATCTGTGCATTTCAGCATAAGGAGACTTTACTGGAAGGCATGGTAAGAACTCCACGGTATTTGTAGATCAAATCTAGTATCTTAAATTACTCAGGGAAGCAATATACACACTTGAGGAATAAGGCGCACTATTGATGAAGAAGTGGGCAGTGAGGGAAAGGCAGGGTTCCTTGCAGCTGGAGAGAGCAGGAGCTCTTTAAGTAGCTCCCTGCAAACAACATGGTCCGTTATAATGAGAAGAGATTTGGTGTAAATGCGACTCTTGTGTGGGATCGTTTCTCTTAGGTTGGATGACAACCATCAGTAGCCACTACAAATCCCTATGTGTGCACTTATAAATAGGTCAGCGGCTTTCTGTTTTAACTAAATGCTTTTCTTTGTAAAGTCATGAGTCTTGAGTAAAGGTCATGCTTGAATTTTACACATTGTACATTTCCTTAACAGAGTCCATATGACACCGAAAACTCTCATTTTCTCAGAGATGCTTATTTAAACTCAGCAGAAGTATAAACATAGCTGTAACCACAGATATAACCAGTCTTTGGCTATGGCATGTAAAACTTTTAGAATTTTGTCTTAAAAAAATTGTGGGCTTTAAGGTCATTTTATAAGAATGTACAACAAAAGAACCTATGCACCACAATGTTCATAGCAGCACAATTTACAATAGCCAAAAGTTGGAAGCAACCTAGGTGCCCATCAGTAAATGAATGGATCAAAAAATTGTGGTACATATACACAATGGAATTCTATGCTGTAGAGAGAAAGAAGGAGCTACTACCTTTTGCAACAACATGAATGGAACTGGAAAGCATTATGCTGAGTGAAATAGGCCAGGTGCTGAAAGACAAATACCATATGATCTCACCTTTAACAGGAAGCTAAACAACAAAACAAACAAGCAAGCAGAAAAAAAAAACAAAGACACTGAAATAGAGAACAAGGGGATAGTGACCAGAGGGGAGAAGGAAGGAAGTTAAGGGGAAAAAGGGGGAGGGATTTGGAGGAACAAATAGGAAGGACACAGGGATGAGAACTAAGGGGGGTGGAAATGGGAGGGAGGTGGGGAGCAAGGGGCGGGGAAGGCTGGGATGGGAAAAATAGACAAAAAACTGTACTTGAAAAATAACTAAATAAAATTAATTATTAAAAAAAAAGAATGTACAACAAACAGAGGTAGGACGAATCGGAATAATGTAGTCAATATATAATTTACATATTAAACTTATGTAAATTACAGCATGTTTATTTTACATTTAAAGTTGATAAATGAACTTTACTGTCATGTATCTGTTTTCTGGGTTTGAAATTTTATGTCAAGCAACCCCCTAACCCTGGTAATTTAAAGGCTTTTGTTGCTTAGATTTTACATAATTCTGTATATATACATGTGTGTATGTGTATATAGATATAGATGGAAACTCCGAGTACCTCTTATGGAACTCTGCATATTTCCATGTGAGTAATCTGATTTAACTGAGAAATGTATCAGTGTTCCTTATTGATCACAAATAATTGTATTAATGGTTCATTTAAAATGTATTATAATAATAGCCTAAATAATAGTTTGGTTCACTAATGATGATGATTTTTTTAAGTTGAAGCATCTGTAGGAAAGAAGGCAGTACACTAATTTTTTAAAATTTGTTCTACAGGATTAGCTGAACCATTCTTTGTTGCAAAACATGAAGATAGGTTGTTTAAGAATTTATTCCAAGACTATGAAAGATGGGTTCGTCCTGTGGAACACCTGCATGACAAAATAAGAATAAAGTTTGGCCTTGCGATATCTCAGCTGGTGGACGTGGTAGGTGTGCATGTCATTCATTATGTGTTCAATTTCACACTCCCGTGTAGGTGCGGTCACTCTGTGGAACCTTGGTGTACGAAGATGGCCATGCAGCCTTCCCAGGTCTTCTTCCTTCTACGTCATTCACTTGCTGTTGGGACAGGACAGGGGATTAGTGCCCTGCAGTCTGCTAAGCTATTTATGCTTCCATCCCCCTGCCAAGTGTAGGGACCCCAGGTACTCTAGAAACGTAGGGTGTTCAAGCTTCACGATGCTTCCCCGAGGCTGTGGCCTCAGTATGATTCCTGCATAGCAGCTTCACAGAGATTCAGATCTGTGCCTCCGCGGAGGCAAATAATGACTTTGCAGTCGCTGAGGAATGCACTAAAAGACTTATGTCGCCGAGATGCATACTTTCCTCCCTTTTAGCTCCTCTGAAATCAAGGTGCATCTTACAATCAGTGGCAGCTCACAAGTCATTGTCAGCCGGGCTCTCTCTTAGTGCCAGGCACATGAAGTAACACTGCTGATATATTAGAGAGCATTGTGTCTTAGATTTGAGGGAATGTAGTGGATGAGATGATGAAAGTTAAATCTAAAAAAGGTATATTTTAGGGCAGTTTATCTGAGATACAGAGTATGCTGAAAGGAATACTGTGAAATTAGCCTAGAAAAAAGACCCTGCTTTTCTGGAGAGCTGGACTGATGAACAGAATGCAGAACTGTATGGGGAGGAGTATTTATATAAAATGAAAAAATCCATTCTTAAAGAAATATTGTTTGTGGAATTGGGACAATCAGCCTTATTTAGATTTTTGTTTTCTAGGACGAGAAAAATCAGTTAATGACAACAAATGTCTGGCTGAAACAGGTATGTATACCGTCCAAAGGCCACCCAACTGGTGAGGTGCCACTATGATTTCAGGGTCTGCAGCACAAAGGGACATGCACGAGGATCTGGTTTTGGTGAACCGGCAGGGTGCAGACAGGCGAGGTGCATGGAACTCTTGTATTTACTCAGTTGATGTTATTTTAGTGCCAGACTCTAGGGAAACAACAGCGAATAAAACAGACCAAAGTTTTGTCTTTCACGCAACTTCATTCTAGTGGGGGGAAAGTAAATAAGTTCTATAGTATACTTCAGAGGTAATATATTTTTCCCCAAGCTGATAAGCTTGGGGGAAAATAGTCTGGGGTCTGTATTTTTCAATAGGGTGGCCTGGGAAGGGACCACTGAGAAGGTAAGGTTCGAACGAAGGCTGGCAGGAGGAGAAGTCCCGGGACTGTCTCAGGGACGGGTGTCAGGCAGGGGGGCTCACAACTGCAAAGGCCCTAAGGCTGGTGTTTGCCTGTGTGTTTACGGAGCAGCAAGGAGGCTTGCGTGGCTAGCGGTGAGAGAGCCCTGGGGAGGAGAGTAGGAGATGAGGTCAGGGGGACAGACACTGGCGGGCTGGCCACTCAGAGCCTTTGGCCTTTACAAGGATGGGAATGGGCAATGATGGATGATTTCCATGTACCTCCTCCCTTTTAGGTAAAAGACATCGTCTTTATTTTTTTCTGGACCATCATGCATATGTTCCCTAACCCCTAACTCCTAAAAGGGCACGTGTGCTGTTCTCGGGGTGCAAGTCTCCACTTGATGTGATCACATCATTGTTACCATGTGGAGGTTGGACAAGGTGTTTCAATATGGGGAACGTGTGATAAATGCAGCTGTTCTTTGTGTGGTCAAGTTGGGCTGATCATTGACAATACAGCTGGAAAAAAGAATGTTTCCCTTGACCCTGGACCACAGATGCCCACGGCTGCCACTCTGGGGCACGGCTAGTAGTTGGAGGAGGGTGCTGGGCGGGGCCGTGAGCCGCTCAGCCTGGGCCTCACAATGTCTCATGGGGACCCTGCGTGGAGCCACTGCACAAGGGGACACGAAGGCGCCAGTGCCCATGAAGATGAGGTGGGCCTTCTCTGTGGGGAGTAGACATGATTTCACGTCCAAAATTTCTGCACTTGGCAAAAATAGTACAATTTTCAGTACACTTGATTATGAATGTCATTGAAACTGAGACCGTTCTGTTTGTCCCGAAGGAATGGAGGGATGTAAAGCTCAGGTGGGACCCTGAAGACTACGGAGGAATCAGGGTCATACGTGTCCCTTCAGACTCTCTCTGGACCCCAGACATCGTGTTGTTTGATAAGTAAGTTACGTTCACATTTCATGTTTCAAAAGGAAACACTTACCCTGGCTGGTGTAGCTCAGTGGATTGAGCGCGGGCCTGCGAACCAGACCCAAGGGGTACAAAAGGAACCAACAATTCTCTCCCTCTCTCCTTCCCCCCTTCCCCTCTAAAGATAAATAAATAAAACCTTTAAAAAAAAAAAAAGGAAACACTTGTGTGTCTACTAGGCACTAGTAATGTTTTCTTCCTTTTGAAAATCATTTAGCTATAAAGAAAGTCAAATGACTTGATCTTACTTCAGTTCTGTAGTTTCAGATAGGTTCTGTGGCTCCTCTACTTTCTCCGTATGTGTGCCTTCTTTTCTGATCATAAAAGTGTTCTCTGATCTCTAAAATTTGTAGAGCATTTGTAGGGGAGTCTAGAGAGGTGTAAGGAGGCAGGGGAGAGAGGCGGTCATCGGTCCCGTCATCCAGCGCCAACAGGGATTGCACATGCGCTGAGCTCAGCGCTGTGTGTGACACAGGGATGTGCCAGGGTTTCTGTAAGCATGTCAGGACCCTCCCGAGCTGGGTGCCGTTACATCCATTTGACAGGTGAGGAAACGGGTGCCAGGAATGGTCATACCTATCTGAGATCACACAGCCCAGGGGTGGCAGGGTCGGGTTCTCACAAAGGAGGACTGACAGCCCTGTTTACTCTCTTATGTACCAGGCTCTGTTTGGCAGACTGCCTCCCAGCTCTTTTTGTATGTTTTTCTAATAGTCTAGGTCATACTTTACATTTAAAAGTGCATCCTTCTAGTTTTGCTTAAATAGTGATTGTGATTATCCCCTGACGAGGAATGTTAACACGGCGTCACAGTCACCCTCCCTCAATGTGTTTGAGGTTACTTTTTAACTTGTGGAGAAGGTAACTCTGGGTGCCAGTCTCATTTTTTTCTAGGATCACTCCAGGGCAAACCTGGGACTTTGTGCTTATCCTCACATACTTTGTGTTATTTGTAAGAAGGCACTTGGCACAAAGACAAAGCATATGCTGTGCAAAAATATCTCTAGTCTTTTAAAACTTCTACCTCCACACTTTTCAATATGTAAAGAGCAAACCGAGTGTAAGGTAGCATGGTGCAGCTTCCTGGAGCACCCTTTTACTTTAAGTCATTGAAAACATTTTTGCATTAAACCTAGATATATTATAGAGTACTTTGTAAAAGTCACATGAATTTTAAGATACAGAATATTTCAAATAAATCTTATCTTGGCGGGCAGCTTCCTGCTACTTTCTCCGGAATGTGAGTTCACGCAGCCCAGCGCGGGAGGCACCACTGTTTGTCAGCCTTGCGGCCAGCTTGGTGCTCCTGCACTTTCCCATCAACATCCCAGCTTCCAGTGTTTGTCCTGGAGGGAAGGGCACTGTGTGGGGAGTCTGGCATTCGGGTTCTGGCTCCGGGTATATCCAGTGTATAAATAGCCTGGTTCTATTTTGTGGATAAAGTGAAATCTTTTCAACCACAAAAATGGCTGGGTTCTGTGAGTTGTAGATCTGTCTCAGCGTAGATGTTTAAGATGTTCTTAGAGCAGGGTCCCTGTATAAGCAAGCACATCTCCAGTGTAACAATTTAAGGAGTATTCCAGACTGTAATACAGGCTGTCTTTTATATTAGGTTTGTAAGATACGTGCTTGTGTTGTTTAGTTCCCACATTGTCATCGTGTGTGTGTTTCAGCGCAGACGGACGTTTTGAAGGGGCCAGCACGAAAACCGTCGTCAGGTACGACGGCACCATTACCTGGACCCCACCGGCAAACTACAAAAGTTCCTGTACCATAGACGTCACATTTTTCCCATTTGATCTCCAGAACTGTTCCATGAAGTTTGGTTCTTGGACTTATGATGGATCACAGGTGGACATAATTCTGGAAGACCAAGAGGTAGACAAGAGGGATTTTTTTGATAATGGAGAATGGGAGATCGTGAGTGCAACAGGAAGCAAAGGGAACAGAACCGACAGCTGTTGCTGGTACCCGTATGTCACTTACTCGTTTGTGATTAAGCGTCTGCCTCTCTTTTATACCTTGTTCCTCATTATCCCCTGTATTGGGCTCTCATTTTTAACTGTACTTGTCTTCTATCTTCCTTCAAATGAAGGTGAGAAGATTTGCCTCTGCACTTCAGTACTTGTCTCTCTGACTGTCTTCCTTCTGGTCATTGAAGAGATTATACCCTCCTCTTCCAAAGTAATACCTCTGATTGGGGAGTATCTGGTGTTTACCATGATTTTCGTGACACTGTCAATTATGGTGACGGTCTTTGCCATCAACATTCATCATCGTTCTCCCTCGACACACGCCGCTATGGCCCCGTGGGTCCGCAAGATATTTCTCCACAAGCTTCCAAAACTGCTCTGCATGAGAAGTCACGTAGATAGGTACTTCACCCAGCAGGAGGAAACAGAGAGGAGTAGTGGACCAAAATCTTCCAGAAACACATTGGAAGCTGCACTTGATTCTATTCGATATATTACAAGACATGTCATGAAGGAGAACGATGTCCGTGAGGTCCGTGACGTGTCGTATTACAAATGCAGGTCATGAGCCTTCTAGACTAAGCATAGATGGAGGACCAGAAATGTTGACATACATTTTATAAGAGACCCTTACTACAATCTGTGCCAGTTAAAACATCCACAAAATAGGGCATCTATGCACATCCAACCTCTCAGTTCCCTCCGGGCATCTCAGATGATTTAAAAGAAAATTTAGCCTGGCTGGTATGGCCAGTGGATTGAGTACAAGCCTGTGAACCAAAAGGTTGCCAGTTCGATTCCCACTCAGGGCACATGCTTGGGTTGCAGGCCAGGTCCCCAGCAGGGAGCACATGAGAGGCAACCACACATTGATGTTTCTCTCCCTCTCTTTCTCCCTCCCTGTCCCCTCTCTAAAAATAAATTAAATATTTTTAAAAGAAAACTTAGTGTTGTGCTGACTGTTCTGGTATTCCAAGGAATGATAATCCTGCCCCATGCTTTGAGGCTGGTCTCAGCCTGCCCTTCCTCGGCCACTCACACCTGCTCAGCCAGCTGCCTGCTTAGGCTGCAAACAGGGAGGGTGTGAGCTCCCTGGCAGCAGGTCTTGTCCTCGTGACCTTGGACTAAAATGGCCCTAGGAAATCCGAAACCAAACCAAGCAGGCGAGGGGCGGGGGAGATTAAATTGAGGAGGTATTATTCTGAGTCGACTTTTAATTTGGCATGAAGTTAACATCAGGCTGGGTTTCCCTTAAAAATTAAAATAAGTAAACACTGCTGGGCAAGAACAAGGAACAGAAATAACTGCATGTATTAAGAACAGAAGAGATTTTTTGTTTATGACAAATCAAGTAGTATAATATTCGAATTTTTATTAAAAATTATCAAAAAGCCATTTGCAAAATAGTATACAGAGCTCACAGGGGCCCTGTTCTTAATGGTGAGGGTGGGATTTGTCCTTGACCTCCAAGCTCAGGGTTGCTTCCAGTTTCCAGGCAGCAGTGGGCATCACAAACTGATTTGGCCTTAATTCAGTGTGTTATATCTTAAAATAATTACACAATGTTAAATTATGTGTTTAATATGGGCTTTTATTTTTTGTTCAACAGGTTGTTGAAGACTGGAAGTTCATAGCCCAGGTTCTGGATCGGCTGTTCCTGTGGACTTTCCTTCTGGTTTCAGTTGTTGGCTCTCTTGGGCTTTTTGTTCCTGTGATTTATAAATGGGCAAATATAACAATTCCTGTTCAAATTGGAAATGCAATTAAGTGATGCTTCCCTAGGGGCTGTGGTAGGAATTCAGTTACCAAAAGGCATATACACCTTATGGTACCTGTAGACTTCTGAAAATGTCAATCGTGTTTCAAATTTTATGCAAGCTCTAACAGAGTAACAGTTGCTCATATCAGTTTATCTTAATAGATGGCCCATCTGCATGAGTAAAGTAATAACTAACTGAATACCATTTGGTCTTCTAAAAATAGCAGGAAAATATTATCTGACGTGTACTAGTAAAACTCTAATGTTTTTAGAGTTAATCCAGGCTAATAATACTTTGTAATTTGTAATATTTGTAATCAACAGTGAAGTTCATATTTTAATGCACTGGAAAATTCCTGTTGTTTTTGAAGATGGACTTCAAAACTTTTCCTGCATTTGGTAAAGGTACACATTTTTAAATTCCTTCTGTCCCGTATCTACTGGAGAACATTTAGTCTCTATTACAGTGTTATACCCCTACATTAGGTAAGCTGACTACTTAGCGTGATAATGATAGAATATGATGCTGATTTTCTATAACCAAAAGTTAAAAAAAATAAAAAATAGCAATTGGGAACTCCTTTAAGTCTTACTTTATTCTTTAGATACTTAAACTGAATAATTATTATGTTATTTTCACAGCTCACTTTCTGTTGTAAAATCATACAACAGACCGCTCCTGTGGACATGCAGTGGCATATCTTTAATATTAATTTCAATCCCCTGTCCACATTTTCCACAATTAGAACCATCTTCTATACAAATTGTGGTAACATCTCTTTATTCTTCATCTTAGAAGAATCCATAGCGATTAAGTGAATCCCATTTTAAAAACATGTTGATGGATACTACTAAATGATTTCTGTGAGAAAATGATCTTTCGAAATTAAAAATGGTAGTCTAATTTAGTATGAGCACATCAAATGTTTTACATACCTGTGAAGTTTCCATTTTATCTCTTTCATTCCAACATTTACAATACTAGAATCTGAGAGTTTCAAGGACCCTTAGAAGTAATGTAGTCTTAGCCTGTTACTACTTACGTAGTATAGTATCATGGGTCACAGGTAAGCAAGTTAAATTTCATCTCTAAATGTTCCTGAATTAGCTACGACCAGGAAGAATACACTGATAGAACTTTTGCACTTGATCTAGAACTTTAAGCTCTTGAGAGAACAAATGCCTTATTTATTTATGGTATGTTACCCACTTGTGTCCAAATGAATGCTTGAATCTGTCTTTTCTTGTAGATAGGCATTTAATACCATTTAATAAGTGAAAGTCTGGTTTTATTAATTTACATTGCCTGTTAGCTATTTCAGCATGTATGATGTCTGTCCAGAAAAAGTCCTGCCAGGCCTGTCCAGGAAAAGTCTAGCCATCAAGAATGTTTGCGCTACATTGATGTAAGCTGGTAAGCAGAGAGAGAATGGACTGGAATGTACATATATGAACAATGACAACTTCACTGTACTAGTCAGTGGGGACAGTAGATGCCATTGAATAAACATATATATTGTGTGGCCATCGCATTCAAAATGACTGAGCAAGTAGAGCAATGAATCTGCATCAGATTTTGTGTTAAGCTTGAATGTTCCTCTGTGGAAACTATTTGGATGATTCAGAAGGCTTCCAAGGATGATGAAATGAGTGTAGCACAAATAAAACTGTGGCACAAATGTTTCAAAGAAGGTCATGAATCTGTTGAAAGTGGTTCACGTTCTGGCAGGCCTGCAACAAGCAGAACACCTGAGAATGTTCAATGTGTACGGGCTGCAATTGACAGAGATTGGCGACTGAGTGTGAGAACTGGAAGCTGACCTGGGGATTCCAAGAACTAGTGTTTCTGAGATTTAGACGCAGGATCTTGGCATGAAATGTGTTGTGGCAAATTTGTTCTGCAGCTTCTGCTACCAGAGCAGAAGGACCATCGTGCTGCAATTACTAATGACTTGATTCAAACCGCTACCAATGAGCCAGATTTCCTCAAGATAATCATAACTGGAGATGAATCGTATCAACAGAGTAAGGAGGCAACCCACAGAATGGAAAAAATACTTGCAAGTCACATATCTAATAAGGGATTAATGTGCAGAATATATACGGACCTAAAATGTAACAATAGAAAAAAACAAACAACCTGATTCAAAAATGAGCAAAGGACTGGAACAGACATTTCTCCAAAGGAGATATACAAATTGCCAGTAAGCACATGAAAAGATGCTCAACATTACTAATTAGGGGAATACAAATTAAAAGTACGAAATACCACCTCACCCCTATCAGGATGGCAGCTATCAAAAACCAGAAACGTGTTTGCAAGGATGTGTGACGAAAATGGAACTCTTGTGCACCATTGGTGGGAGTTTGAAATGCTACAGCCGTGGTGGAAACAGTATCCTCGAGAAGTTAAAGATGGCATTATCATACACCCAGAAGAACTGAAAGCAGGGTCTTAAAGAGATATCCGTACACCCATGTTCACAGCAAATTATCCACAATAGGAGGGGAACAACTCAAGTGTCCATCGGTAGATGAATGAATGAGAAAATGTCTCTCTACAGACAATGGAATACTACTAAGCCTTAAAAAGGAAAGAAATTCTGTGTTATGCTACAATGTGGATGTACCCTGAGGATATTATGCTAAGTGAAACAAGCCAATCACAGAAAGACAAATACTATATGACTCTATGTGTATGAAATATCTATTAGTCAAACTCAGAGACAGAAAATAGAGGCTGGGGAGGGGAAATAAGGAGTTATTGTTTAATGGGTGTACAGTTTCAGTTTTACAAGATGCAAAGAGTGATGGGGATGGATAGCGATGATAACTGCGCAATAATGAAAATGTATTTAATATCACTGAACTGTGAATGTAAAAATGCCTAATATGGTAAATTTCATGTTAAGTGTGTTTTACCACAATTTAAAAAGAAAGAGCTTCCACCCAGTGTGCCCCAGGGTCAGGGCTCAGGCGTCGTCCTTGGCCATCAAGGGCTGTAGGAACAGCCCGGCCGTCCCTAAAATGCAAACCAGGATGAACACCCACAGGAAAATACGGTCGATCACCATGGCTACATACTTCCAGTCATCTTGAATCTGAAAAATGAGAACAAAAATCATGAAAGAATAAAAAACAAAGCAGCAAGGAGAAGACAGCGTGAATGCATTTTCACTCCTGAATATTTAATAAATACATTGCAGCTGTCCCCCCTGAAATGCAAGGAACCGTTTTTCCCATTGATGTGGTCTGAGGAAATGCGCCATTCCCATTTCTCTTTAGGCACTAGAGAAATAATATAAAACATTTGTCATGTAGCTTTATTCTTTATTCTTTTAAAATTAAATCCTTACTGTATTTTTTCCATTACCATTTAGTCCCCTTATACCCTCCTCCCTCTTATATTGCTTTAAATCAGAAATTTCTTAATGTGTATGTAACCTATTTTTTTCTAACTAGAATTTCAATTTTTAAAATGATTTTATTTATTTATTTTTAGACAAAAGTGAAAGAAGGGAGAACGAGAGGGAGAGAAACATCAATGTGCAAGAGAAACAGGTTGGTTGCCTCTCATATGCCCCCAACCATGCCCCCAACCAGAAACCTGGCCTGAAACCTAGGCATGTGCCCTGGCTGGGAATCGAACCAGTGACCTTTCACTTTACAGGCCGGTGCTCAATCCATTGAGCTACACCCACCAGAGCTGAATTCCAATTTATAGTTAGTAAAGCCAGTTAGTTGCCTTCCACCTCTGTGGAGGGTCCCGGGCCTTTGTTGGAATAGCGAATACTATCCAGCATCACTTATTATTGTTTCAAAGTATGAGTTCTTACCCAGTTTTAGATATAATTTCCTTTCAACAGCCAAAAATGAGATCAGTATATCTGGGCAACTCCATCATTACTCTCCCTCTGTCCCTCTGCCCCCCGCCCCTGGCAATGCCCAAATAACCAGGCTACCAGTCCAAATTATGGGGTTCCATATGGTTATAGAACAGGCTGAAAATGAGAAATAGTTGCTGATGACAAAGTAAAAAATGGAAGAAAGAGCAGGACTCATTGTGTACAATAAGGCTTCGACCGACGCTGGAAATGAGAAGGGGACTGTACATTAATTGTCCTCCCAGACAACTCGGACAGCAGCAGAGCCGTAATTGAATTGAGAAAGAGAGAACCCATGAATCAACTGATTTGGAAGAAATAATTGCATGACAAAGAGGCACCATGGATGCAGTAATTTAATTAAGTGACTGAAATGGGGCTGGGAGACCGGATGGGTTTCACCATGTTGAGCTGGAATAAATGTGTCCTCTTGATGACACTAAGGAGTCACAAGTAAAATTGGAATGACACTGTATTTGCAACAAGGTACTCTATTTGAATTCCTCAGATTCTGGTTTGTAAGTGCTTCTAATACATAGTAGGTCCGGTGATTCCCTCCCAGTCTTTGCTGGGTGAACATTCTCAGGCCTGGGAGAGGGGATGGGGAAGCAGAGGATTGGAGACGGACTGGTTACAATCCCAGTTCCACTCCTTGCTAGTCATGAGATTCTGGGTAAGTTATGTGGCCTTTCTTAGCCTCAGTTTCCTCATCTGTAAAATGGGCATAAGAACAGTACCTACCACATAGGGATGTTATGAGGATTAAATGAACAAATGTGCCTGACACAGGATTCTTAAGGAGTAATATCTATTTACGCTAATGCTGATTTAATAATGTCCATTAATCAAGGATAAATGTCCCTCCGACAGCAAGTCACAGGGTTTAGCCTGGTGAAGACAGATGGCACTTGGGTCTCACACATGCACACAAGCAATGATGCAAACAGCTGGGTCACAATTACTGTTGCATTTAACTGTCAAAGTCTTTAAGGTGCAATGACAGTGGCCATTCTCTGGAAACTTTGGAACTAACGATGAATAACAAGTACATGAGTTTAGGCAAAACGGTGAGCTCGTGCAAGTTCCTGGCTCCCTGTGCTGGCCCAGAGTGCTGGCAGCTCAGTGGCTAATTCAGGGCACCATACACTCATGAGCTTTGTCACCCCATCTTACAGATGAAAAGACAGGCTCAGAGAGGGGAGGTGACATGGAACTGGTCACGGAGGAGCTGGTCTGGATGCAGGCTGCTGACTCCAGAGTCTAATTCCCTACGCCAGCCCCACACCTTGGCCTTGTTGAGTGAATGAACGGCCGATGTAATATCTTACCTCTTTGGCTTCATTTTGTGCTTTCATATTTTCAGCAATGTACTTGACACTTTGGATGGCTTCTTTGATTTCTGGTGACAGAGCAGAAAGGGAGAGCACAGGGTCGACAGATTCTGTGCTGGAGCTTCTCGTGAGGTTGGCAGTAAAGTTGGAGATCTTTGTCCTGCGGTGGTGGCAGTATCCACACAGCCCGTCCTGGCAGGGGTGGCCTTCCTTGCAGCTCTTGGAACCTGTGCGGCTGAAGCAGTTCAGGCTGGAGAGCTCAGCGCTGGGGACTGGTCTTGGCCTTGGTGTGTCACCCTCACTGCCTGCCGGCCTGGTCATGAACATGACCCTGGGAAGCAAGGTCAAGAATATGGTCTTTACCCACGTGGGCATCGTGTGTGTGGTGGGGGTCCTGTAGTGCACATTGAGCACGAAGACGGTAATGACGATGGACAGGGTGACAAAGATCATGGTGAACAGAAGGTACTCGCCAATCAGGGGGATGACCAGTGAGGTGGAGGGGATGGTCTCGGTGATCACCAGGAGGAAGACGGTCAAGGAGAGGAGGACCGAGATGCAGAGAGTCACCTTCTCGCCACAGTCGGAGGGCAGGTAGAAGACGAGCACGGTGAGGAAGGAGATGAGCAGGCAGGGGATGATGAGGTTGATGGTGTAGAAGAGCGGCAGGCGCCGGATGTACAGTGAGTATGTGATGTCTGGGTAGATCTCCTCACAGCAGTTGTACTTGATGTCGTGCTTGTAGCCTGGGGCTCGGATGATGGCCCATTCGCCGCTCTCCCAGTAGTCCTTGAGGTTCATGGAGGAGCCGATAAGGACCAGGTCGATTTTCGCCTTGTCATAGGACCAGGACCCAAACTTCATGGTGCAGTTCTGGTAATCAAATGGGAAGTAGGTCACGTCGATTTTGCATGAGCTCTTAAAGATGGCCGGAGGTATCCAAGTCACTTCCCCTGTGTACTTGAGCAGAGCTTTGGTCTTGTCATCCACCTGGAAATCCCCAACTGCACTGCAGAGACAGTGAGGAGGTGCATGGTCATTGCAACGTGGTCTCTGGCCCAGTTGTCACGCACCAGCAGGTAAAGGCTAAACAACTATTTGTACGTGGGAACGTGAGAGCTCCAGGTGTGGTGAAAGGTCACCTGTTTCATCACCCCACGTACAAATGCAGACACTGAGGCCCAGGACCACCCCCCACCGCTACACACACACACAATCTGACACACTCATTACCTGAGGACGTTACTGGTTCATCCCACCACATACAACACTTTTTACTGAGACACCCCAGATGCCAGACAATTTTCCCTTTAGGTAGAGAAACAGGATGCAGGTTGTCATCCTAAAGGCAGGTGACCTTTGGGGATATTTGCCACCCTCTGCTCCTGTGGTTTGGACCTCATCAGTGTCTCCTCATTCAGTCTCCATCGGGTGCCCCACATGTGCACAGCATGTGTGTGGCACCACCGCAGAAGCCCCTTGAACTGAACCTCATCAGATGGGTTTGTTCCCAGACCCCATCTCCACCACTCATGCTTTAAAATAACCACGTAAGCTGATTCCTTCTTTCAAAGTCAGCATAAGAGTTTCCTTCCCACCTGTTTCCCTACCTTGCCCCACTGTCTCCCCGTGTTTCTTCTTCCTTCTAGAATAAAAGAAGGCTTCTTAAGTGCATGGTAGAGTAGAACAAAGGGAAGGTATCTCTTGGTTAGACAAGTGGAAAGAACAGCCCACTTATGGGGAAGCCGACCGTACACCCCAGTTTGCCCACGGCAGTCCTGGTTTGCACCTGGGGCCCTGGGACACTTACCAACAGTGTCCCCTTTCCCAAAAGTCACCCAATTTCACAAAAACAAAAACATTAGACTGGCATCCAATTTTGACAGTGACACTTTGTACCAGGACATAAGTCAGCATTTTAAAGATTTTTATGGAAGGAAAAAACAAGCCAGGGATGTTCTGTTCAGGTAAGTCACCTAAAAGTATTATCTAAAAAGGTTGCAATGAGTTAATAACTTGTGGGGACTTAGGGTAAATTGTGAGCACTTTCTGAGGATTATTAGAGACTGAATTTTAGAAAATCAGAGGTCATAGGAGAAGCTTTGGCATAAGAAGGCCAAAGGTGTTTCTAGCACCTTCTTTCAAACACCAAAGGGGATATTTACCACCAAAAGGTGTTTGAAATGAAGAGACACTCTCAACAGAGGACCAATCCTGAAATTCTGACTATCAGAGAGAATTTGGATGAATTTCTCTCAATATAATTTTCAGTTTCAGATTCTAAGGAAATTCCTTACCATATCTGCTTCTTCCAAATCCAATTTCAAGCACCTTGCCGTGTCTCTCAGTATTGTTACAACCATATTTCCTAAATAAAGTTCTCGGTTCACCCAAGAGTTCCAGGAAGAAAATGGTTGTAATAATGAAATCATGAGATCAAAAATGTTGCCTGTGTTGCTAATTGAGGTCAGCAAAACTTTTTCACACCCTGCCTGACTGCCTCAGGGCCTTTGGGCGGGAGAACTCGTACTCTGCAAACCAGCCAAGTTTCTCATGTCCCCACTCTCCAGGGACCAATTGACAAATACAGATCGCATGAAAGAATCATATTCAAAAGCTGGTTTTTAAAAAAAAAACAGTAAATAAAGCATGAACCATCTCTGGGGTGGTTAAAGATCCCCCTTCATTTAGCCAGTGACCAGAAGTGGGATTCAGCTAAAAACATAGCTTCTACATTCCTAACGCTAATTGTAAAATATGTTGATTGTACTAATACAGCATAAACACCTAATCGTAGAATGCTTTTCTTCATTAAAATCAGATTAGACTAAATCTATATGAAGTGTTGTACTGAAAAATGCTTAACAGTTAAAAACTTTATAACTGGAGAGGAAGCGCAGGTGACAAGATGTTTTCCAATACCTAGGAACTAGCACATGCTGTAAAATATCAGTTAAAATTTATGTTGCCTGATAACAGAGCTAAGTGTGGGGAGTGTCAGCTTTGTAAAACAGAGAGGTGTCGTGGTGCGCAGGTTCAGATGGCTGAGGAGGAACCTCGAAGGCTCCTGGAGCAGGTGGGGAGGTGTGTGGAGAGGGTGCATCCCCAGGTGCTCAGAATAACGCTGCCTTCCTGAGGTCTCACCTCATGGGGCCCACTGGGACCTGATGTACGGGAAGGTCAGTCCTAGGAAGGGCCACGGGGCAGGGTTCCCCTCTAGCCCTACCATGTATTTCCCTTCCTTGTGGCCATCTCTCTAGTCTGCACTTGCACATGTGAATATTATAACTCAGGCCTGTCTTCCTGGACCCAGGGATCGTGTCTGTTCTGTGTACTGCTGCATCTCCAGCAGCTGGCATGCAGTTGGTGCTCAATAAATGCCTGTGGTAGGAACCACTGAATGAAGCCCTGTGGGAAAAGGTCCGAGGGAGGCCTGGCCACCCATGAGGGTGAAGCTGCTGCCCTTACTTGTTGTACAGCACGATGTCGGGCTTCCAGATCTTCTGTGCGGGGACACGCAGGAACTCTGCCCCGTCATAGTCAGAGGGGTTCCACTTCAGCTTGTAGTCATTCCAGATCTGGGGCGGGGGGGGGGAGGGGGGAGGCAGCAGAAAGACCAGTGTGGCTTTGTTCTTTTGACACCACCCATCTTGGTGAATTCCCACCCCTGCCGTGTGCCACAGAGCCTGCTCTGTGCTGCAGACCACACAGGCCTGGAGTCTTGGGTGGGCGCGAGTTGGGGAGGCACAGGGCTATGTGCAAAGCAGCCGTATGTAAGTCCCATGAGGACCAGTCCGGTCATCTGTGGTGGCAGGTGCAGGTCTGTTCCTGAAGCTTGTGCTGTTTATATCCCTGAAACAGCTCTCCAGGAGCTTTCTCAGACACGTTCCCCACCAAGCCCCCAAACAGCCTGCTAATCACAGAGCCCTCTTCTACCTTCAGATTGAATGGGTTGACCTCTGAAGGGTTTTGGGAAAGGAGCCAGGATCTCATTGGGACCCAGCTAGGGTTTGGGTGCAGAGGCTGGGAGACCTGCATCCTAACCCCTGAGGGGAGAGGTGAGGCTGCAGCCTGGGGGATTGTGTGCTGTGCAGCACCAAGCGGGCACTGTGGCCACCGGGATTTCCAGCCTCCTAGAGGAAAGGCTTGTGAGGTGAGCACTGAGTTGGCTGGGCTGGTGAAAGGGTCATCATCAGGCCGGAGATTCATTTGTCCAGGCCCTGGAGGGACTCCCTGAGGAGGACACATGGGAGACAATATCTTTGGCCTCAATCTGAACAGGAAAATCCAGAGCCCCTGACCTACCAACGATGACTCCAGCATCTGATTCTGACTTAAGAATGACTCTTTGGTAAGAGAAAGGGGAGGAGGTGGTCTCATGCCCCACCCTAGAGTTGGAAGCCAGGTCTCCAGGCCCAGGTTTGTCCCATTTTATTGTGTGATGGTAGAGAAGGCTTCTCCCCCCAAGCTGCAGTCTGTTGTCTGTGACTGGAGGGACTGGGGTCTGCAGTCTTTCCTGGAGGAACCTTGGGACCCAAGCCCAAGTGGGTCAGTGGACCCCAGTCTGGGTCCACAGAAATGAAGCCCTTAGCTTGGGCTTTGGGTCCTTCTTGGTTCCTGGCAGCAAATAGAGCAGTCACCACCAGGGGGCAGCAGGGCTCAAGCCCTGGTCACTTACTTGCTTGAGCCACAGGTTGGTCTCCATGATCTGGTTTACTTCATCCTGGAAAGGTAGATTAAAGTAAATGCGTGAAGTACAAAAACTAGGCTCTGGGAAAGCCTCTTCCAGAAGCCTGGTTCCCCATGGCCACAGCTCGTGGTCCCAACACTTACCACCTTCACCAGCTGTGACATGGACACTTCAAACTGGATGATGACAGGGTCAGACGCGTTGGCCACAGGCCGAATGATCTCATTGTAATCTTCAAACAGCCGCTCAAACAGACGGTGCTCGGCCTCGGAGCTGCTGGCCACTGGGGAGAGTAGCCCAGTCAGACCCCGTCCCCTCCCCAGGGACCCCCACACACACACCGCCACCCCGCTACAGCCTCCTCTCCACCCACTGGGAGCTCTGTGGAACTCCAGACTTTTTGATTGGCTTCGCTCCTTCCAGTTACAGGTTGGGAGACTGAGGCCCAGGCGAGATAGGGGTTTCATCAGGTCATACACACTCAGTGAGAAGCACAGTGGATACAAGCCTAGCTCTGCATTTGGAGTGATCTGGTGAAAATCCTGTGTGCACTTAGCTAGGCAAGTGGCTTAGCCTCTCTGACACTCAGCTTCTTTATCTGTAAAAGCAAAGACTAGAAACATGTCCACATCCCAGGGCTGTCATGAGCAAGGGCTCAGCCCCGTGCTAGCATACAGTCTGGGCTGAGGAACTCTCCTGCCTTCACTGTTACAGTGGGCAGGTGTGTAGTCTACACAGGCACAGCCATTTGCTGCTTCCATAATGCAGATGACCAGTCCACTCCAGGGGCAGGGCCACCCCCAAAACAGGTGTTTTGCCTCCTAGTCTCCAAGTAGGAAACTACAGCCAGGCCTGGGGCTCTCCTTCATCTCACCCAGGACCCTGTCAGGGTGTGGCTGTCCACCCTCTTGGAAGCTGGGTGCCTACCCGGCTCCATCAGTCTTGGAGTGTGACCCAGGGTTCCTCCCGATGCTGTCTTAGCATCTTGATCAGACACCCTAATGTCTCTGAAAGCCTTGGAAACCCCTTTCTACCCCAGGCATCTTGAGTCAGCTGTCTGCTGCTTCCCACTTGCATGCAATCTTGGGAGGGGGTGAGGGGAGTCCCTGGTGAAGTCCCAACTTCTCTGGGTTCCAAAATGGGATGTGCTTGTTCCCTTCCCGCTCCCCCAAATAGCAAAGGGGCTACAGCAGGAGCTTCAGGGAGTGCAAGGCTCTCTCAGTAGTGGGGGCCTCAGCACCCAGGCGGCAGATCAAAGCGCACAGCCACGTGGCTTCTCCCATCAGGTCCCCCTGTAACCCTGCTAAACCCTCACCCCTTGGCACAACCAGTCCTCCCAGGTCAATGACTTCTGACGACGAGTCAGAGCCCCTTCTCAGTAACCCGGCCGAGGGGTGAGGGGTGGGGGGTGGGGGGGGCTGGCGCGTCGTGGAGCGTGGAGAGACAACTGGAGGGGAGGCTGGCGCCCACACTTGGCCCCGCGACCCAAAACGATTGCCCTCTTTTTCCAAGGGGTCTTCAAGTCTTTGCCTCTCTGGCATCAGTTTCCCCACTTGGGAGGCAGACAATGGAGCCGACGCCCCAGGCGTGAGTCTACGGACTGTACTCGGAGCAGAGGCCTCAGGAGGCAGTGCGTGGAGGGGAAACAGGCGCCCCACCCAGCTCGCCGCCTGCCCGGGGCCGCGCTCCCGCCCCTCGGACCCGCGTCCCCTCCTGGGACTCAGCCTCTCGGCCTCCCCCCTTGTGCGTACCCGGTATCAGCAGCAGCAGTCCCAGAAGTGGGTGCGCCCGGTGCGAAGGTGCGCCCATGGCCGTTCGGCGGGCTTCTTGGAGACCCCGAGAGATGGGGAGAGGACACGGGGTGATGGAGGCAGCTTCTGCCGGTGGGCTCCCCGCTCAGCGGCCACTCGAGCCAAACAAGGCGGGTAGCGCGGGGTTGGGGTTCTTCCTGGACTGCCACGGACCGTGCGCCCAGTGGGCTCCGGAGTCCGTGCGGGGCTCTGGGGTGGGGGGCGCTGTGCTGGGTCTGGTGTCAGGGTGTGCCCGCGCCGGCCAATCAGAGGAGGGCTGCCTGGGCGGGGCGGGGGGGGGGGGCTGGGTGGGAGGCGGGGCCAGGGCACGGATCCGCCCCGCGAGTATGGAGGGCGGCGCCACATCGAGTTGGTTTTGGCGCGTCCCGCCTGTGTTCCCGCCTCTGGTCGCTGGTCCACCTGAGCCTCAAACACACTTCAGGACGAGACCTCATGATTTGGTCGCGATGAAGTAATTGTTAAATATTTTAGACATGATCATGATATTTGCTTTTTTGAGAGTGTGGGAGGAGGAAATTGGAGTCAGCCGAGACAATATCCATCAGGAACTGGTGATTGTTGAGGTTCCGTGAGGAAATAGGTGTTGTTGTTTTTTTAATGATTTTTAGAGAAAGAGAAAGGGAGAGACAAACATCAACTTGATGTTCTGCTTATTTATGCATTCATTGGTTGCTTCTTGCATGTGCCCTGACCACATTGGAATCCACAACCTTGGTCTGTGGGGACCACACTCTAACCAACTAGCTACCCAGCTGGAGCTTTAAATGGCTCTTGAATAGACTCAACTACAGTGACAGAGGAAGATGAATGGGTGCCAGGGGCCGGGTGTGGAGGGAGCCAGGACCGTGGGGAGCAGCACGAGGGAGTTATTTGGGTGTGGATTTTGTATGTTCTGACTAAAATGTATTTTATTTTAGTCAGAATACATGCTATTTTGAGCATGTATTATGCATCAGGCACTGGAAAAAAGATAGCACCATTATTTTGCTATGTATAATCCGCATCCTTATTTTTCTCTCAAAGATTTGGGAAAAATATGTCACGTTATACATGGCAAAATACGGTACATGGTGGGACCAGTCAGAGAAGCTGTGAGGGAGGCACACCTGACCCAAGGATGAGGCAAAGCAGAATGAGACCCAGGCTGTGAGCAAGGAGCAGGACGGGGCCAACACTTCCATGTGGAGAACCGAGGGTGACTTGAAGGAGTAACAGCAGACGTTCACTCATCCAACATACGTTTATTGTGCCAAGTCCTGTCCTGGGCCCTGAGGCCGCTGCAGCAAACAGGAAGGACCAGGTCCCTGTTCTCACAGAGCTCTCGCTCTAGTGTGTAGATGTGGACCATAAACACGCCAGCAGATCAGAAACTGAGGAACTGAGGAGCCCTTGAAGAAGGTGGCAGATTCCATGCCCGGGGGGGGGCGGGGAGGTGCTGGGTAGAAGGTGCTGTAAATGCACAGGCTTAGAGCTGGGGAGGATGCTGAAGTGTGTGAGAGACTGAAGGCCAGAGAGCCTGGGGGACCAGGGGGAGTGAAGGGAGACAAAATGTGAGGTAAGATGACTGGCACGTAGTAGATGCTGCTGTTAAGCCTGTCCTTATCCTGACGCAGGGAAGGAAGGGGGACTGGCTAGAACTAATCTGCCTAAAGCCCCTCCAGCTGGGGTTTCCTGGCTTCCTGCGAGGCCTTCACAGAGGCCAGTCCAGACCCCAGTCCTTGCCCTTCCCAGGCCATGGCTGTTGGATGCATTGACGGGTTATGGTGTTGTACTCACGTACACCCTCAGCAGCTGTGACCCAGAAGGAAACAGCAAACTGCCCACTTGGCTGCTCACATCATCTTGCCCCATAACCGGGAGCTCTGGAGCCTGCAAGGCAGCTTAGGGCCCCCCGGAGGGTGTGTGAGTCTGGAAGAGGGGAGGTAGGAAAAGGCCCACAGTGCCCAGCACGCACACAACCACGAACACCCACAGGAACAGCCGGTCCACCACCACGGCCACATATTTCCAGTCCTCCACGACCTGTGGGCAGACAGAGGTGGGTCACACAGGTGAGGGCTGGGTTCCCCCCTGCTCTCTGAGTTGGGCCCTCACTATTTTGCTGGGACCACACTCAGAAGAAGAGCTTGCGTCCTATAGTCTATTTGTTAACAGTTCTCTTTTTTCCTTTTCACTGTGTGATTCTGGAGCATTTTCTGCCCGCTCTTCCTCTGTGTGCTACCTAATGGACTCCAGGGTTTCCCTTGAGGACGGAACCTCGGAGAGAAACTGCAGAAAGGTAAGGAGGAGCAGATGCCCTCTTTTCCCCATCAGCTGTGAGCTGAGGGGGAAACACTCGGAGGCCCGGCTCCGATAAGGTGTTGAGATGAGAACGTTCACAAGACTATGATGCTGTGCTGCCTGGTGTGGACGTGTGTGTGGACGCATCTTACTGTGACCATCATATTCAGCATTCAGTGACAGACTTGTCCTCTAAACTGAGACAGCTACACTCTAGCACCCATCGCTCTGTCCTGTGAAAGTGAACATGACCTCTTTTTAAACGTCTGCATTTGGAGTCACCCTACCGGCTGATTTGTTACTGTGGTGGCAATGCTGTTTTCACTGATGTCTATACTCCCGGAAGCGAGAGTGTTTGTATGGCCCCTTGACGTGCCTGACAAAGGTGGGAGCAGATGCCATCAGTGCCCTGGCCGCCAGTGTCCCTAAAGGCTACAGATGTTATTTCCAGCCCACTGACAGCTCCCACGTCAGGCATCTGCATCTCTGTCTTCCCTGCTGGGGCTCCAGAGCACCCACTGCACAGCCAGCTGTTATAACCACAGGGGTGGGAGCTGGGGGGCTGACGTCCGTCTCGCTCCTGGGGATGCCTCTGCCCCTCCTTCCCATGCACCCTCGGGAGGCCCTGGCAGTATCCTGCCCACTGACACCCAGATTGCTTTCCTGTCCTTGCTCATGTAACTGTCCCTCCTTCCTCACGGTGCCAAGATCCCTTCTCATGTAAAACCCCTCTGCCTTTGGGGAACCCAGAACAAACAAAGATGAGCACTGGCCCTTCCTTCCTGTCCACCAATGTGTGAAGATGTCATAGAACTCATTTCCACATTGGGTTCCTTATTCCAACAAAGAGCTTGCAAGCCTTTGGCCCACAGGCATTAACTGTGGGAACAGGATCACTGGCACCTGAGATCTACCCACTGGACGGGGGTTGTGGCTGGGCTGGCAACTTACACTCTGGTCCTGATCATCACTCTTCATGTGCTGGGCAATGAAGCTGATGCCTTCCAACGCCTCCTGCACCTCCTGCTGGAACCTCCCAGTAGGCCTCAGCTGGAAATCCCTGGGGGTCCTCACCAAGTTGGAGCCGGATGGGGACTTGGGAGCCGCGGAGGCAGGACTCACAAAGTACATGGAGCTCCCGTAGAGGTTGGAGGAGCTGGCAGGGCCTGTGGCAGTGGTGGTGGTGGTGGTGGCCTCAGACTGGGACAGGCGAGACTGGCTGGGCGGGGGGGCCCTTTGGGGTTTGCTGTCAGGGCGCTTCATGAAGAGGAAGGTGGGCAGCTGGTGCAGGAAGCAGCGCCTGACCCAGGGCGCCATGGTGTGTGTGCTGGGCGAGCGGTGGTGCACATTGAGCACGCACACGCTGGTGACGATGGAGAAGGTGACCAGCACCATGGTGAACATGAGGTACTTGCCGATGAGGGGCACGTCCAGGGAGGTGGGTGGCACGATCTTGGAGATGAGCAGCAGAAAGACAGTGAGCGCCAGCAGCACTGAGATGCACAGCGTCATCTTCTCACCGCAGTCGGATGGCAGGTAGAAGACAAGGATGGCCAGGGAGGTGATGAGCACACAGGGGATGATGACGTTGATGGTGTAGAAGAGGGGCTTGCGCCGGATGATGAAGTCGTACGTCACGTCCACATAGCTGGGGTCCTGCGGGTTCACTGTCCTCCGACCCGGGAGGGCCACTATGTCCCACTCGCCACTGGAGGTGAAGTCGTCCATGCTGGCTGTGGGCGACTTCAGCACCATGTCAATCTCTGTGCGGTCGTAGGTCCAGGAGCGGAACTTGAGGCTGCAGTTCTGCTGGTCGAAGGGGAAGTGCTTCACCTCGATCTTGCAGGCACTCTTGCAGATGGCCGGGGGTAGCCACATGATGCTGCCGTTGGAGCGGACCACCACGTTGGTGTAGAGAGACACCTCGTAGGTCCCGTCAGCACTGGAGCGCAGCAGGGCCCAGGGGGGAGCAGCGTGAAATCCCCAGACAAGGCCGGGACCTGTCACTAGGACTCACCAAAGACCCTGCAGGACGACTCTCATGAGGCACCCCCCCCCCGCCCCGCCCTGTCCCGTGCCCTCCTTAGGAAGCCTGGCAACTAAAGGAAGGCTTCACACGAAGTAGCTCACTAAGCCTGCACAGCAGTCCAGGGAGGTAGGTTTTGTTATTATCCCATTGTATGCCTGGGAAAACTGAGGCTCAGAGACATTAAGTGACTTCTTCCAGGTCAGGAAGCTGGTGCAAGACAACTGAGCTTTGAACTCAGGTTTCTGTCCCTAGACCCCACACTCATACTCATTCATGCTTCTGCTGGTGTAGCTACACCCCGGAGGGTCCCTTTAGCTCCCTGAACTGCCAAAGATGTTTACACATAACAGAGCCCAGACAGAGCACCAGTCTTGGGGTCAGGGCGCTGGTCCTGTGCCCACCGGTACCAGAGTGCGTCTCCAGCCCTCCCGTTCCCCATCCGAAGCTGCGCGCACTGGCTCTGCTCATCTCTAATGCCCCTTCGAGCATCGCAGCCAGAACATCGGGGTGAGGCACACAGTGGGCCCAGGGCTGGACTCAGGACTGGAGGACCCTGGAGGCAGGACCTGGCCCAGCCCTGCCCACCCTGCCCCTGCCCGGCCGCCACTCACTTGTTGTACAGCACGATGTCAGGCAGCCAGATGCGCTTCGCGGGGATCCGCAGGATGTTCACGCCCTCGTAGCGGGAGCTGTTCCAGGCCAGGCGGTTGTCGATCCATTCCTGAGAGGTCAGGGCGGGCCCTGTCATGTGTAGGCCCCGCGCCACCCACAGGCAGCCCTGCAGGAAAGGCCTCAGGGGCTGGGGACTCTCGGGAAGCTTACCTGCTTCAGCCAGACGTTGGTGGTCATGATCTGCTCTCTCTCGTTCTGTGGAGGGAGAGGGGGTACGGGCTGCTCCCACTGGGTGGGAGGAGCCATCCCATGCAGAACTGCATTATCATGTCATCATATAGAAGGCCCTGAGCCCTGGGTGGTGTGGCTCAGTGGCTTGAGCACTGGCCTGTGAACCAAAGGGTCACCAGTTCTACTCCCAGTCAGGGTACGTGCCTGGGTGGTGGGCCAGGTCCCCAGTAGGGTACACATACAAGAGGCAACCACACACTGATGTTTCTCTCCCTCTCTTTCTCTGTCCCTTTCCCTTTCTTTAAAAATAAAAAAATAAAGTCTTTTAGAAAATATTCCAAATTTGAGGTATAATTCCCATACAGTGAAGTGCAGAGATTTTCCATGTGGTTTTATCAGTTTTAACAAGAATATCACCCACGTAACAAGGCTCCTTTCAAGATGTAGAACATTTCTGTCACCCAGAAAAGTTCTCTTGAGCCTCAGGTGCCGTCCCTCACTCCCCTTCACCGTCAATGTATGCACAGGGACAAGGTCAGACGGACAGTGAAGGACCTGGTCCACGAGTCCGGGCAATGTCAGAGGAAAAGCCCAGACCCCCACCCGACTCCCAGCCCTGAACACTGAATGGCCACCGCTTTCCCCAAGATGGGACCAGGGCACTGAGAGCCCAGGCCCTCCTCCCTGATCTCACCACGCTGATGAGCTGCGCCAGTGAGAGCTGCAGCTGGATGGAGATGAGCTGCGAGGAGTTGGTGGCCGGGCGGATCAGGTTGCTGTAGCGGGTTTTGTCCAGAAGGTCATCCATGAGCTTCTCCTCGGCGTTGGCCATGCGGCAGTCCCCTGGGGACACACAGTCAGACCTGCTGGCCGCGCTCCAGGGACACCTGCTGCGTGGAGGTGCGTGCTCCAAGGGCCAGCTGCACGGGGTCCTCGGGGACTCCCAATTCAACACCCAGGACAGAGCCCAGGTGCCCTCCCTCATCCCAACGTGCCCTCCTCCCATTCCTCTCTCAGTGAGTGGCTCCCCACACTCTAGGCTTCTACTGGCCGCCTCGTTCTGTCTGCACTACGTTCCGAGTTTCTCCGTCTGTCTTGCAGGTCCGGTCCTCCCTCATCACCCTACCTTGTCTGGGCTCTGCAGGGAGACAATGTGTTGTGGGTGGGGTCGCCCTTTGGAAAGAGGACACTCAGAGGAAGGTCAAGGACCCCTGAGCAGGACAGCCCAGGGGTAGGGAAAGAGACGAGAGTGTGCAGAGAAAGTGATGTGGGGGTCAGAGAGCAGGTGGCAGAGCATAGGGAATAAGGGAGGCTGAGGAGATGGGGGTGCCAGGAGGGGACGGTGAGATCCCCCAGTCCCCCCAGGCCTTGGACTGAAGGGCCAGCTCACTGGTCGGACCCAACTCCTGCATCTGGGTGGGGCCAGGGGGCTCACAGCAGGAGCACGTGTGAGGCGGATTCTGGGTGGGTGCTGGGTGGACCTCAGGCTACCCTGCCTGCCCCATGTACTCTCCAAATTGCTGCTTATGTAGAGCACACACCACATTTAGCGCCCTGCGGAAGATGCTCCTAGCGCACCTGCTCTTCCGTCCCTCCCCCACGTTGCCTCGGGCTGTCCAGACTGTTCGCTGTTGCTTGGCCTAGATTCTGAGGCCTGCCTCTCAATACCCTGAACCCCTCTCAGATGGCAGCTGCTTGAACGCCCTGGGACCCAGTCTGCGGCCCCAGGCTCTAGCTGGGTCCCTCCCAGTGCCCCTCCTCAGTATATATATTTTGGCTGACTGGTCATTTTATAAGGAGAGCTATGACCTGCCTACGCCCATCTGGCATGCCTGGGATAGCTCTGGGGTCCGAATCTTCAGCTCCTGGCCCCACCCCTGCAGTCCCGGGGAAGGCTGGATCCCACAAGGAGGCTTCTCCACCCCGGTTCCTGAGAGACCAGGCTGCTCTGCAGGCTTCTGGCTCTGAGCCCTTCTGGAGTGCTCAGGTTGTCCACCTCTGGGCCTGTTCTGCCTGTTCAGCTGGCCCTGAGGGAGCCTCCCCCATCATGAGGACCATTTGTGTGCTCCAGAATTATAGGCTCCAAAAGCCTTAGGTCATTTGCCCCAACTCTGTTTCTCAGCTGGAGAAACAGTCCATGGGGGGGGGCATGGATCCAGGAGCCCCAGCAAGGCAGAGGTGGAGCCAGCTCTAGGAGCCTCTGTCAGACCCAGGTCCCCCGTGGGCCCTGGGCCTTCTTTCCCACCCCGCTAATTCCCTGGAAGGAGGCTGCCCCTGCGAGAGCCCGTGGTGTTCAGAGCAGAGTGTGTGCTCAGGCATAAGTCCAGTGTCTGGACTTGTATGTGAATGCGGGGGGCTGCTGGGGGCTGAGATGTACTCCCACCCCCAGAAGAGAACTCAGGACAATATACGTTTAGACTTTCCAATCTGTGGCTTTGCATGCTGAGAGGACTGCTGGTTCCAAGAGACAGGGGACAGGCCCTTCATCCTAAGATGACAGGGTGGCCCAGAGCTGGTAAGAAGTGGGCAGAAGCTTCCTGGGCGCAGTCTCACAGCTGTCTGGGGCTGAGGCTGTGAAACCTAGAGTCGGCCACCAGGGGTCAGTCACGCCCCGTTGTCTGATGGGGAGTGGGCCCTGCACCTCATCCAGGGCAGGCCTTCCCTGGGAATGGGGTTAAGGCTCCAGGACCAGGGCTGGAGTGCAAACCAGTGTGAGAGTGTGTTCAGTTCCAAAGGGCATCAGTGGTCTGAAAATCTGCGTTTTGAAAGCGGGAAGATAAGCCCTAAATTGCAATCAAATTACAGAAGGGAGCGGTCACAGACTCTTTTTGGCAAGTGAGCAGTGAAAAGGCAGAGACTGTCATGTGGGGAAGCCAGGAGTGTCTTGAACTGAGGCTGATAATAGGAGACCTGCATCCGTTAAAAGGTAGGTATGGATTTTTTTCTTTAAGTTGGAGGGTTTCACCAGTTACAAAAAGCTCACTTTTATTAATAGCAGCCTCTCCCATCATGTGTGAGAATCACCTGGATGCCAGGTAAACGCAGATCACAGTCTGCTCTGGAAGCCAGGACCCTGCACTGGGGGATTCTGTTGCTTGTGGTAACTGCCCCCCCTCCACCGCCCCCACCCCATGCCCCCCCCTTCCCTGCCGCGCTTTACACACACTGCCACGGACTCACACCTCAGAGTGGCCATGTCTGTAGCCGGGGTTATCGCCCCACAGAATGGGGAGCTGAGGCCCAGAGGAAATCAGTGGCACGGGGTCACCAGCAAGTGGTGCAGGAGCCAGGACGCACCTGGAGTGCCCACTCTGCTTCTCTGTCCTGCCTACAATGCCCCTGTCCTGTGTGTCTGTCCCAGGAAGATAGGAGCCTGGTGCACCAGGCAGACCAGGGATCAGAGGACAATGTTGGGCCACACAGTAGGAGCTGGAAGGGTCCTTGGCGCTCAGGTTTGGAAACTGAGGCCTGGAGATTCGGGACTCTGCCTGGAAAGGCTGAGTGGGTGTTCCTGCCGGGTGTCAGGACCTGCAGGTTCCTGCGTGGCCCTCAGCCAAGCTGGCTGTCCAGGCCCGGTGATGTTTCCTAGGAGATCCCCCCAAACGACACACATGCCCGGGCTGGAGGGCTGGGCCAGCCCCCTCCCACCATGGCCGAGCTGCGGGCTTGCTCCGGGAGTCCACGCGTGCAGGGACGAACCTGGGAGACCCGGAGCCGTTGTCCGCAGGTGTCCGCAGCCCCTCTTCAAGAACGCCAACCTGTTGTCCCAGGACACAGCCCACGCGGCCAGGACACCCTCGGCCACACCTCTCCCACCTGTGGCTGGTCTGGGGCTCTGGACCCGGCGCCCTCCCTCCTTCCCTGCAGAACTCACCGCTCCCGCAAAGGGCAGCCAGGGAGAAAAGGATCAGGGGGTGTGCGCCCCTCATGGCGGGCAGGCCCGGGAGGCGGCACACGGGCTGGTGGCGGACCGCTGGGCGCAGGTGGCTGCCAGTCGGTGACAGGGCAGGTGTGGCCTGGGCGGGAGACGGAGAGTGGGCGCTAGGACCCCGCGGGAGCCCACGCTGCCGCACAGACTGGGCAGTGGCTCCGCCCAGTCAGGGCTGGGGGTGGGGCCTACACTTCTCAACCGCCAGGAGGGTGGTTTCCCTGTGGTGGCCACCGTGCCTGCGAACCTTCTTCCCAGGTGGCAGGACAGTGCCTGTGTCTTCCGTGCAGTTGGGGAGACTGAGGCCCGTGTCTGCGGATGGGGCGCTTAGGACAAGGGTGGCTGGCCCCTGGGAGGCTGCAGTTCAAGGGGAAGAGAGTTGGGGCCGAAAATGCAAATCAGTCCCTTTAAGAATGCCATTCTGAAGCACCTTGGAAATGCAGGAGAGTCCAGATTCAGGGGGAATAGCACCGTTGTGCTAAATATAAAATGTCGCAAACATATTTTATGCCACCAGTGTCTTATCTCTGCTTTACAGTGTTTCATTACTGGGGACTCGCTGCCTACGGGGCGTGTGTCTCCTGGGGAGCGAGGAAGTGGTTGGGGCTGGACAAGGGCAGCGGCTGCACTAACCACGGCGGGTGTGCACTTTCAAACGCTGAATTTCAGGTTGTGTGAATCTCACCTCCGTTTAAACAAAAACAAAACAATTGTTTCTATTTTTTTAAGCCAGTGGTTCCTGGCTCTGAGACCCTCTCTGTCGGGTGGAGATCTTGCTGTGATGTGAGGTTGCCTGGGATGAAAGCACAGAAGACAGGTGATCCCTGAGCTGAGTCTTGAGAAAAAAGGCTGCAATTGTTAAGTTTAGAGGAGGGTGGGGCAGGGAGGGGCCTGCAGACAGAGGAGGTGAGGCTGAGGAAGGTGGGAGGATGTCCTGGAGGCAGACACAGTGAGGGAACCCCAAGGAGTTAGCTATGGTTCAGTCTGGAGCGTGTGGGCAGTGGTGAGAAGGGGGAGGCTGATGTCCACCGTGGGCCGCTGGGATAAGGTGCTTGGCTCTGACACCCTGGGGAGCTGCAGGAGGTCTGGGGGGAGACTGAATAATTTAGCTCATATTTGCACTTTTGAAATACATCACTGGGGACTGCAGACTTGGAGGCGGAGTGGGCAGGCCTGGCTGGGGTGGGGGGCTGGGGCAGTGACCCAGGGGAGCAGAAGGAGGGGGCAAGAGAAGGCTGTGAGGATGGGAGGAGCCCCCTTTGCTAGATGCTTCCCTGAGCTCCTGCCAGGACACCTCCTCTTCCTCCAGGAAGCCTTCCCCCTTCTCCCTCAGCAGCTTCCGGGAGACTTGTCTCTTGGCAGAATTGTTTGTTATGAGGGTCAGTCTGCCCCACAGCAGCCTGAGAGGGCTCCAGGACAGGGCGGGCGCTTGATCCTCATTCTCTGGCTGGTGGGAAAGAAGCCCCAGTGTGCTGGCCCTACCAGGTGCTACAGTATCTACATCACAATTCTCAGTTTATCCTCACAAGAATTTATGGCTGTGAAAAGCTGAAAGGGAGGGAGGTCAGTAGAGCTGCCATTTCCATCCCTGTCTGGCTTCTGTTGGGTCCCTGTGGCCCTTTCTCCCTGACCCCGCTGCTCTCTGCTCCTTCTCCTGCACCTGCTCCCTCTGCTGCAGGCACAGCGGCTCCCCAAGTGCTCATCAGTGTCGGGGCACAAAGCAGCTGAGGCCCCGGAGCCAGCAGTGCTGGTGGCTCTGCAGCTGAGGCTCGGGAACCTGGGTCAGGGCTGACTCGGACCAGGGACCTTTTGAGTGCAGACCTGAGGGGTTTCAGACAAAGGACAGCAGGGGCCCCCTCTGCTGCAGCGGGGCCCACCCAGGCATCTCTGGAGCCTCGCCAGCCAGGTTGATGCTGCTTGGTGCCTGCCTCCAGCACGTCACCTTGCTCAAAGGGTCGTCTTCTCTTACATGGCAGGTTGGAAGGGGTTCTCTCCATGGTCTCTCCGTCCTTGGGCTCCGTGGCTCTAGTGAGGCTGACAGACATGGGCTCCCATCCCTGCCCCTTGGGGCCACGTGACTTTGGAGAAGCTCTTTTCTCCTTTTCCTCACCGTGGGGCTGCCCTGACCGTGAACCAGGTCATGGGCAACCAGGTAGCAAGTGCTCGGGAGCAGCTGTGGCATGGGGAGCGGGCAGGGGGCAGTGCAAGAGTCTTTGTTATATAGACTCAGGTTCAAATCCCACTTTGGTGGTGTAGTGTCTGTGGAGGGTACGTTGCCCACCTTCCTGGGCTGCGGTTTTTTTCATGTGTAAAAAGATGGTAGATGGGACATTGTCCTCCTCTCTTTTTTCTCCTGTTGCCTCTATAGCAGAGAGATATAGGCTTAATAGGATCCTTCCACAGGGTAATCCTGATTTTTCCTTCTTCAATCATCAGAGTCATTACTGAGGGTACCAGTTTGTATCTTAGGTTCTGAGGGAGGCAGCAAATGAAGCTTTTCTACCCCCTGGTTTAACTCCAGAGTGTCTGCCCCATTCTGTCGTGAGCAGCCCCTCCGGCCTCTCAGCTTATCAGAGCTCACTGGGCATTCAGGGCTCAGCTCTAGCACCTCCTCCAGGAAGCCCACCCTGACTTCTCCAGTCTTCATTGTCTTAGCTCTTTTTTTTTTTTGTATCTGGCTTTGCCTGGCCCCTCTGGTGACCTTTGGCATCTTGGCAAAAACTGAGGGTGGGGTGGCAGGGCAGGCCTTCTGCCCAATTCTGCCCCCACTGGGCTTGTCTTCCACAGTCATTCCTGCCCAGTCTACCCCCTGGCCCATAACCAGCATTTGCCCTCTCTCTTTGCAGGTGTAGCTTCTTTAGGGACCTCACAGCAGTGATCTCACACAGTACCCGTGTCCGCCTTACTCACCTCACTGAGCCCCTTGTAACCGACTCAGGGTTCCTCGGTGCTCCCCGCATCTTCTGTTTTAAAGCTTCAACCCCGGCTGACCCTGAGATCGGGCGTCCTAGGTCTCACACGTAGTCTCAGATCACTGGGCACTCTGAGGAAATCCGATTGTGACATCAGGGCCGAGTGGGTCCCAGCTTCTACTTTCCGACGTGGAAACTGCTGGTTCTGCCATACTTTGCAGCACCATGGGGTTGGGAATGGGGGGGGGCAGGGAGGATAGAAATGGGGGGGTGTTGAGCCTGAGTGGCTGTGGCGTGTGTGTCTTCTTTGGGGGGAAAGCAGCCCATCCCCCAATTTATTCCAGCCTGTCCTTGTCTTTCTCTTCTACTAGCGTGAATTTTCACTGGAAAAACCTCTCGGAATCTCTCTGTCCCATCATCAGTGCATGGAGAGTTAGCTGAGTGTCAGGACATTTGCATCCTTATCCTGACCTGGGGAGTTTGGCTGGCAATTGGGACCCCAGGGGCTGGCAGACAGGTTCCCTCCCACCCCCCACAGCCCTGTGTTCAAGGAGCTAAGCTAGCATGGGGGAGCAGGGACTAGAGGTTCTGCAAGCTGGTGGCCAACCTGCAGGGACAGGTGAGGAGTGGCTCCTTCTACCTCCTACAACTTCTGGCCTGGCCTGCAGGGCACAGGGGGAATGAAGTCAGAGGGATGGCCTCCTCCTAATGGACCTGTCAAGGCTGGTGGGCAGGGGAGGGAGAGGCTGGGCCCTGCAGCAAGGCCAGGAACCTGCGGACTGGCGGCCTTTCTTTGCCTTTGGTGCATTGTGAACACGCTCCAGGTGGGCATCAGAGTTGTGGAGCACTGTGCCCCTGAACCAGGGACGAACGTATCGTGTCCTCAAGTGAATCCATAAGTTCCAATCAAGATCCCAAAGGAATTGTTTTGGGGGAAGAAGGTGACACTGAGCTTGATAAATTCATTGTAAGCATCATCAGTGAATGGCAGAGAATAGCCAAGTCCTGAAAGAAAGAAAGAAAAGAATAACACAGGGGGCTGATCCTCATCAAAAGACGCAGCAAGTGGCGTGATGGCAAATGCAGAAATCCCCGGTGCACTCGGTGTTTAGAATTTGACAAACATGGCCTTTCAAAGTGGGCAGGAAATGAATAAATGGGGCTGAGAAGAGCAAGGATTTCATCTTTCCCAAACCACATACGAACATAAACTCCAAATGAGGTCAGAGTTAAAATGTAATAAATAATGCACCAAGATGATGAACCAGAGGAAAATGTGGATATCCGGTTCACGGGGTGGGGTGGGGAGGTCTCTCTAAGTTTAATACCAACGCAGACACCCTGGCGGAGAATGTGGCAGCACAAAGGTTCGCCCGTGGAGACATCACACACACAACTGATGAGCAGATGACCAATGAGGAGAGTTCAGTATGTGTCTGAGGAAGGATCGCTGTCATTACAAATCAATGGGAAAAAGACATCGGCCCAGCAGCAATGGGCTCACAGACAAGTGATTTAAAAATAAGGAAAAATAAGCAGGAAACATTCGAAACCATCTGTAGCAACCATAGTAATAAAAGAACTGAAACTGAAGCCCCTGTTTTTGCTGAACCAGCACAGATCAGAAGGATTTTTTAAATTATTTTTTAAATCTGCACTGAAGGCTATTTTCATTGATTTGAGAGAGGGAGAGAAAGAGAAATATTGATCAGTTGCCCGCCCGGCCACCACCGCAAGCGCCCTGACGGAACAAACCAAACCGTTTGGCTTAATGAGAGGATGCTTCAACCCACTGAGCCACCCAGCCAGGACCAGAGGATGTTTTTAAAATGACAGTGGACAGGCGTGAATTTGGATGCACAGACCCTCACACGCTGCTGCTGCTGGGCTGTAAATTAGTACATCTGCTTAGTAGGGAAAATGCCTAAACACTTCCCATGTGTCTGCGCCAGGAATTCCAAAAACTGGTCCAGCAGACAGAATCTGACCTGCATACTGAGAACACTGGTCTGCAGGGGTCGCAGCGGTGGTTGTGCCGGGGACAGAAACTGCCTGCATGCATCCGGACCCAAGCGTGAACACCTCTCTCCTCGTCTCCTGCTGTGTCGTCACTCCGGCCTCCGAGGACGGGAGGCCCAGTGCGTCCCTCTTCAGGGCCGGTCCCCAGCGGTT